CTGATGCTGTTTTTTTATTGATTTGTAACTTCTGATCATAGCATTGTTCTTTTTATACAATATATTTAAAACAAATTTCCTAACCTATTTTCCAAATTGTCTTTATTGCCTTTTATTTTAAAAACTCAATCCTAGTAATTTTGAAAATTGCCAGATGGAATAGATGCTCAATCATTGTACTTTATAACATCTTTTAAATTTTAATTCAAAGCATTTCAATTTCTGAAAGTACTTGGCTTAAAGGGTATAAGTGAGTATAAGTGCTGGATTTCTGCTGCTGCAAAATTAAAAGGAATTGACTTAAGTGACAAGCACAAAGCTGATATTAGCTTCTTTTGCTTTCACTAATGTCTAATAAAAGAACAAATTTCATTTTTATCAAGGACAAAATTATGTCTGATCTGCAACATTTACTTCACATGTATGATTTGCTTTGTGAAATAAAAAGTTCTATAAGGAATACAAATATTGATTATGCAGTAGAGACCAGTGCTCAGAGTAAGAGATGAGCAATGAAGATTATCACCATGCCTTTGGTTAATTTCTGTTATCTTAACCCTTGATTATATTAAAGCTAGTGGTTATGCTTTTGTGTAATGACATATCACATCCCTAACATGAATATTCAAACTGAAGTTTATTGTCCTCCGTTTTCAAGAAATGTTGTCATAATCATGCCTTATAGGAATTTTCTAAGAGCTACACAATATTTAAAAGTGATTTCTCGGGTTTTTGTTTTTCCTGACTTATTTTCCTAGACTGATCCCGTTGAAAACACTTATGTATGGAACCTGAGCATCAAGTATGTAAACATCCAGTCAAGGTCCACATCTCCTTCCATATCTAGTGAAGCTGAGCCAGTTAGGGTGCTACATTGGAGCAACCTTGCTCCCCTTTTCTTACACTTGTGTCAGAAAAGGGAATTGGAGGGGGRAAAAAAGTGAAATCTATCTTTTGTTAATCAAATAGATTTTGTAATAAGTTAGAGGTCATTACTTTTTAAATTTTTTTTTTTAGTTGTAGATGAACACAATACCTTTATTTTGTTTTATTTATTTATTTATTTTTAAATATTTATTTATTTTTTTAGTTTTCGGCGGACACAACATCTTTGTTTGTATGTGGTGCTGAGGATCGAACCCGGGCCGCACGCATGCCAGGCGAGCGCGCTACTGCTTGAGCCACATCCCCAGCCCTATTTTGTTTTATTTTTATGTGGTGTTGGAATCCAGCCCTGTGTCTCATGCATGCTCAGCAGGCACTCTACCACGGAGCCATAACCCCGGCCCTAGAGGTCATTACTTTTAAATGATAATGTAGCTAGGAATAGAAAATGAATTAGAAAATTGTTCCCCTAAACTTACCTAAAATAGACAAAAATATAACTCTAATAGTAATCTCTCTACATGGTATAGAACTATGTGGAACACAGGATAGTTTTATGTAAAGGTTAGAATTAACAGATACAAATTCTGAAGGTACATGCAATGCAGGTGATGTTCTCACATTTTAATTCTTATAATAAACTTAATAAACCATGATATAACTAATCTGTTACATCATAAGCACGGCTTAAAAATAAAATTGCCACTGCTGGCAGCTGAGTATTTTATTCTGACTGCTGAATCCATCTCAGGTACTCGATTAACTAAACCATGCCGTGCCCTTTAATAGTACCAAAAAATGTGTTGTTTTTACACTTCATGTTGAGCCATGGCTTTTAACAGCCAATTGGCTGGTTTTCTCACCAGAGACAATTTCCTGCACAGGTTGGAACAATATGTTGTGTCTCAGTTCATGCTACCTGCCTTGAGACACAGTCCTAGTTTTTCACTTAGCATCACAGTTCCTGCAGAGCTCCTTTGCTTCCCTCTTTGTGATCAACAAAACTGTGTCTAGCTATCCACAGGAGCAGATGGTTCAGTGTAAGAAGTTGTCTTAAGTGTGAACTGTAGTCATGACTTGTTTCCCAACTATGATACAGTCCTCAGACTGGTTAATGAAACCCTCAGTATTTTTAGTTACAATTGTTTCAATATTTGGGGTTAATGGAATTTTATTTTAATGATAAAACCTTTCAGGCATACACAGAATAATATAATAAATACCTATCACTCACAGATTTAACAGATAAGAATATTTTATTTTACTTTTTCAGTTTTTTTTCCCAAGAAAAAATATTCCAGAACCAGTTAATGTCTTCCCTTACACCATTCCTCTCTTTTTTCCCAGACATATCTCAATATCTAGAATCTGGATGTATATCCCCTTCCTTGGTTTCACCTGTTTATTTCATTTGTATCCATAAACAATATATAGTAATGTTTGTCTTGTATTTAAAATTTGCAGAAATGTTAACTGTGTCCTTCTGCATCTTTTTTCATTCATAAGTATGCATTGAGGTTTAATCATACAGATACATGTCCATTTAGTTCATTCATTATAACTGCGGCATAATGTTTCATTGTTTGAATATGCCACAGCTATTTATCCATTCTTCTGTTGTTGGATATTGAAGTGGCTTCCAGTTTTTTATTACTATAATCAGCACTGAAGTGAACCTCTTAATAGCTATCTACCTTTGCAAATGTGCAGTTTGTTTAGCATTTATACATAGAAGTGGAATTACTGGGCTTTATGTATTTTTGGTTTTAACTAAATCTTACCAAACTGTTTTCCATAGTGGTTGAACCTGTTTTCATTCCTACCAGCAGTGTGTGAAAGTTCCCTGTTTGCCCACATCCTTGCCATAGCTTGGTACTATCAGCTATTAACTTTTGTCAATCTAATAGGTATAAAGTGACATTTTTGTTTTAACTTGTTTCTGTTTTCTAATATATCTTTTTAGAAAAGCATCTTTTTTTATATATGTTTGTTGGCTATGGATGATTTTCCTGTTAATGTTTTTGTCCATTGTTCTACTGACTTATTTTTCCTCTTGTTTTATAAATGTCCTTTATATATTCTGGATACTAATTCTTTGCTGGCTATATGCATTGTAAATATTTTCTTCTGGTCTTGGTTTATTTTAAAATTTTATTTGTGGTACCTTCTGTCTTGCAGAAATTTTCATTTTAAAGTAGTCAGTTTTATCGGTTATTTCCTTTGTTACTTATGCTTTTTTATGCAGTTTTTTTAAAGCAGTTCTTTTGCAGTGTAGAGATTATGAAGATTTTCTTCCATATTTTCTTCTAGGAGTTTAAAACTTTGGCTTTTATGACCTTAATGAAACTGAAATTTATTGTTATATATAATAGAAAGTGGGATTCTAATCTGTTTTTCCCATATCAACATCTGGCTCTTTTATATTTCCCCTCCTTTGATTTGTAAACCCAACACTACTTTGTGTGCATGGGTCCGTTGGAGTTCTCTTTCTCTTTCACTGCCCTTTTGCTTATTTCTGCACTGATACCAAATCATCTTATTTATTCTAGCCCTAAAATAATTCTTGATACCTGGTATAGTGAGCCACCCAAAAAAAAACTTGATTCTTTTTCATCTTGACCCTTTGGTTTTCCATATTACTTTTATTATTAACTTGTCAAGTTCCATGTGGGGCTTTTGATTGGAATTGCATTGAACTTATAGATTTATTTGAAAAGAATTGACATCTTCATGATATTGGGCATTTCTGTCTATGAACATGATATGCATAGTTGTTGGTTATTCTTTTACATCCTTAAATAAGGTTGCATTACTTTCAGTGTACTCCATGTTATTAGATTTGTTCCTAGGTATCTTAAAATTTTATTACTCTGATGAGTGGGATCTTTTTAAATACTTTATTTTAAAAGTTAGGCATTGCTTATCTTTTTAAACTCTGTTGATCTTGTATCCAGCACCTTTGCTTGACTCTTTTTTAATTTACATAACATTTCTTGAACTTTCTATAGAATTCTAATGAAAGTTTTGTTTACTGTTAATTTTTTTCATTAACTTTTACATAGATTTTTCAGTGTTTACTTTCTTATCTTTTAAATTTATCCTCTCAAATGTTGAATTATAGATTGGGTTCAAGCTATTCAAAAGGAAATATAGTTCCAGTTAGAACTAAACTCACAGTTAAACAGAAGATCCTAAAAAACACACTGAATTCCATTTTAAGGCTATACTGAATGCCAAATAGTCTATTTTTGGAAGTTATATGTAATAAAGGCAAAGAGAGACCATCAATTTTTCTCCTAATATTTTCAAATATTAAAATTAGGATATAAATTATTTTCTTACTTGCTTAATATTCTAAAAGGATGTTATTTCTCACCTTTTTAAATACTTTTCTAATTAAATAATGTCTCTTTGTCATGTCCCCCCCACACAATAACATCCAATAAATCAATGATTTATTTCAAAGAAATAGCTTACAATAATACCTCATAAAACTGTTTGCCTACTAATAAAGATAATAGTTTGTAACTAAATTCGTCTTAAATTCAGAATTCCAGTAATTTTAAATAATTTAACTCTCTTATTTGGTAATTAATTTTTACAAAATCCCACTAATCTCTACCTGTATATTCAAATCCACAAAGTTATTTGTATTCCACACATTTAATGTATGTTCTAAAAATGGAGGTCAAGTAGTAAAAAGGAATCTTCTAAATATTTTTATTATAAATAAAAATCAGGTACTTTTTAGGATGAATATATCAAATTCATAGGAATGGAAAGTTAGTATCCTCATTTTTATATGTAGGTTACATGCTCTGATTCTTTGATTTGGTTTGGTTTTCTTCCATGGATTTTCTTTTCCAAATTATTCATTTTAAAGTTTCCAGACTGAAATATTTTTTACTAATTGAACAAATTTCAATGTAGACATTGCAGACTAAAATTTAAATGATCAGTACTATGAGAATTTCAACTTCGATGAGATTAACTAGTAGAACTCTTTGCCTAATTGATGTTTGTTCATTTCTATTTACTTTGGTTTCTTTCTAGTTATGTTTAAGATAAATGAAATGTTTCATGACATTTGTTTCCCTTTTTGCCTCTGGGTTCAGATTGCAGACAGTGCTCCACTTCCAGTTCACACACCAACCTTAAGGAAAAAGGGATGCCCTGGTTCAACTGGTTTTCCACCTAAGGTACTCTAGTTATAAACATAACGTGTTCAAAAAAAAAAGGATAGTGGATTTCTTTTGCTTGTTTATATACTATTCTGATTTCTTCAAAGTTAAAAACATAAAGGCATGGAAGGAAAATAAACTCAGTATGAATGGAAATAATCACTAATGAGAAAGGTAGGAAGCTTGTACAGTTTTTGGATTTTTTTTTTCCTGTCCTAAATTCAGTGTTTTAAAGTCTAAGTAAGGTGTAATGCTTCTTCCAGAAACTACTCTGGATTGTTGCCTAAGAAAAACATTAAGTTGAGGTCTTCAATGCAAGAATCTGGAATTGGGGTTATTAAACAAAGCACTGAGAAAGATAAATGTTTAGTGAAAAACTCAGTTGAATCTATCTTGCTTCCCCCCTCCCTTCATTCTAGTCAATTGACTATGACACGTGTATTATAGAGAACAGAACATAAAGATTTAGTTGCTTATCTCAGATTCCTACAAAGAAATTCTAGAAATTGGAAAACTGAAATGAATTACCTCTCAAAAACATAAACCAAAAACATAGAATGAGAGAAAGATAAGCAGATCTGAAAAAAGTATAAGTGGTATAAAAGAAAGACCATAAACTGAATAATCTATGCCCATCAAGAGGGTAAAAAACCCAAGAAAAAGCAAATGTACGTTCAAATCTTAGAGGAATTTACTATGGCCTCTAAAAGCAAAGAAACCAAAGGAAAAGCAGATGTACATTCAAAACAGTCCAAAAATAATGTAAATAGAAACACAGTGTGGAGTGAGCATGTATTGGTCTTGCCTGGAGAAAAAGTGTATAGATGATATTGTCTGGTGGTTAACATTTTAAATCCCTGGCCAGACTTCCTAAATTAGCAGTGTAATCTCGAGCATGTTGTTTACCTTTCTGTGCTTTCATTTCCTCATTCAAAAAATAAAAAAGAGAGACAATACTAATACCCATTTCATTGAATAGTTTATGAGTTTTAGACAAATTTAATGTTTGTAAAGAACCTAGAATGATTATTGGCATAATATACATCATAAGTATATTTATATTTGTAATATCATATAAAATGTCAAATAAATAAATATTGGTAACTCAGTAAGGAAATTAAGCATAAGTATGGCTCTTCATAAGTGGAAGGGAATAAATAGGAGATTAGTAAGTAAAAAGTATAAATTTTAAACCTTTGAAAGAAAATAGTCATTGAAAAAGAGTAAAGAAAGGAAAACATGGTGACTTGGTACTCCTGCTGTGTAATAAATTGTCTGAAATCTTTTTTTTTTTTTTTTTTTTTTGGTACAGGGGATCAAACTCGGGGGCACTCAACACTGAGTCACACTCCCCAGCCCTATTTTGTATTTTCTTTAGAGACAGGGTCTCACTGAGTTGCTTAGCAGAACTTGCGATTCTCCTGCCACAGCCTCAGCCTCCCAAGCCACTGGGAATACAGGTGTGCCACACCACATCCAGCAAATTATCTGAAATCTTAATGTATTGAAACAACCCCTTTTTATGCTTACAAATTATTGGGCTATGAATTTTGGAATGATTCATCTGGGAAGCTCTTATTAGGAGCTTTCCATGTAGTTGTAGTTAAATAACAGCTGAGACTGCCATCATCTGAGCTGGATTGTTCACTTCCAGGGGTAGGCATTTGATGCTGGCTGTCATTCAACCGCTTACAGTCTTTCCAGCATGACAATGCTAGTCTTCCTACATGGCAGCTGCCTTTCCCCAGAGTGAACATGCCAAAAGAACCAGGTATAAGCTGCATAGCTTAAAGTAAAGACATATGAAAGGTAGAAAAGGAAAGTAGAGGACACAGATGTATACTACACATAAAGCAAACAATTATAGATTAAGTTATTTTCCCATACACTCCAAAATGTAAATGAATAGGAACAAATCACCAGATCTATAAGACCTTTGCGGTATTTAAAGTTATATTTGTGTAAATTGAGATAAAGCGAAGTGACTTATAATGACCCTTGGCTACAAAACTAGCAAGGGAGCATTAAGTACTCCTGGAAAGATCTGAGAACAGTAGCAGAAACTGGGAAGGGATTTCTCAAGTGCCATTCCACAGTAAGCATAAGGAGATATAAGTAGAGAAAGATCTGGCAGTGCTAAAGTTAGGAGTTCTCAAAACTAACAAATTAGAAATGCCTTTCCAGATCAAAGTCCTGTCCTATGTAGAAATAGTTGGATGTAGATTCAAAATTGAATAGGACAGGGAAGAAAAGTGGGAGTCCAAATAGATAAGAAGAGGGAATAAAGATCTTAGAAAGTATGAGATCATGTATATGTTTTTTTCATTTTATGAAAATAACAGAAAAGGAAATCTAGAGCTATGGAGCTACAAAAACTATTCTGGCCCACCATTTCCACATAAAAGGATAGGGAAAGTAAAAGGTAAAAGTGATCAACTGAAAAGAGTTACAGTTAAATCTCACACAAAATGATTACATTTTTAAAAGAATAAGGTATAATATATCTTAATAAAAAATAAAAGTCTGCCAATCAAAGAGTATTTGTTTCAGGTAGGGGTTGTGGCTCAGTGGTAGAGCGCTTGCCTAGCATGTATGAGGCACTGAGTTCAACCCTAGAAGCACCATATTAAAATAAATAAAATAAAGTATTCTGTTCATCTACAACAACAACAACAAAAAAGTGGTTTGTCTCTACAAATTCAGTGAAAATTAGTGGATAGTGGGGTATGGAAGCATCCATCAGTGTTAAGATTTTGTGTTCAACCCCAGAACCCAAAAAGAGAAGAAAGAGGAGGAATTACAGTGAATATTTCAAAAGAAATTTATTTCTCAAATAATAGAAACTTAAATTTAAAAAATGAGAATTCTAAACCTTAAAAGCGAAGGTTGTTTTGAAAAAGGAAAATTTGAAAAAAGAAGATAAAGCATTTAGGAGAAAACTACAATTTAAAATACAATGTGATTTCAGGAATATAGGCTAGTGTACAGGGAATTCAAGAACAAATACACTAGCAGATAATGCCTTGCGACAAATAGATAAAGAGGTGGATTTTTTAATTTAGCGAAGAAATGAGCAAAGAGGTTAAAAAACTTTAAGAAAAAGCAATAGAAATACTGGCAAAGAAGAGCCAACATTTTTTATAATAGGAGTCCCAGAAAAAGAACATGAAGCAATGGAAAATACTAAAAAGTTAGTCAAGAAAATTTCCCAAAACAAAAGAAGGCTTGCATCTCAAATACCAGGATGTGCAGCATAGCTGAGAAAATCAACTCAACCAAAATAACATATTCTAGTGAACTGTTACTGGTCTTTTTAAAAATTTTTTTTTTTTAGATGTAGATGGACATAGTATCTTTATTTATTTTTATGTGGTGCTGAGGATTGAACCCAGGGCCTCATGCATGCTAGGCAGGCACTTTACCACTGAGCTATAGGCCCAGCCCCTGTTATTGGTCTTTAAAGAAATGCATTGGATATTCAGGCAAAAAGATTGGTCTCATCTGATGATGAGATTATCATCAGATTTTTTTTTCAGTGGCTTCACTGTGCTGGAAAACAATGGAATGATATATTTAAGATACCCAAGGAAATTATGAGTCAGAGTTTTAAGAAGCTACGTTGTTTTGTTGTGGTGGTTTTGTCTTTATTTTTATGACTGAGCTATTGCCCTAAGATTGGAAGGATACAAAAGCATCCTCCAAAATACAAAGCCACAGAAAAATGTGTAAGAGTTCAAGAAATGGTTCCACAGCTTTCTGAGGAATGTACTAAAAAACAAGTTTCAGATAATCAAAATAATAAGACACCAGGTAATTTGAGAGTCGGGAGGTGAAATAAGGGTCTAGAGTTAAATACAGAATGGTTCAAAAAGCTGGACTTCGTGGTGCATGCCTTTAATCCCAGCTACTCAGGCTAAGGCAAGTAGGATCCACCAGTTCGAGGCTAGCCTCAGCAACTTAGTGAGACACTGTCTCAAAATAAAATATTAAAAGGGCTGGGCATATAGCTCAGTGGTAAAGCATCCCTGGGTTCAATTCCCACTACTACCACCCCCCCACCCCCCCAAAAAAAAGAAAAGGAAAAATAGCTTTTACTTCAGAATGATTTAAAATCCACATGAAGCATTAAACTAGCTCTCAAAACATAACTATTCTACCCTGCCATATGTTAATTTTGTAGAGCACTTAAACCAAAGAGACCACACAAACTCAGCAACACCAGATTTGGTGAAAGAGAAAAATATCAAATGACAAATAATGAGACTTTTAAATAAAAAGTCTACAAGCAAAATGATAAGATTCCAAATGCCTTTCCCTTGCTTATCTCCCAAGATATTGGCATTTGGGGTTATACCTCCTCTCCCCTCTCTCCTTGAAGGATACCAGTAGATACTCTAAAGAAATAGGCCCAGAAAATATCTATAGATAATGGCATTTGAGGGTCCTCAGTGAGATGGCAGATCGTCTCTAAACAAACACAAATATTTGCTTACATATTTACACATAAGTGCATGCACACTCTCTCACATACACACACACATATACCCCTTTCTATATAGCTTTTTTTTCTGTCTCTTAAAAATGTTCAGATTCTCAAGAATCAGCAAGCATTTTAGTAAATTCTCTAACAAAAGAAAAAGCAGAACAATGTTTTTGTATGTTTCTTGTTAGAGGAAAAAGAAGCTGTGAAGAAAGCAGAAAAAAAACAAAAATAACGATCAGAGAACATGAGGTCTTTGGAAAATTAAAAATGCTAACCATTTAAAAAATTCAATACATGAATTAGGAGATAAATTTTAGAAAATCTCTTAGAAAGTATTTTATCCAGGCACAGTGGCACGCACCTGTAATCTTAGCATCTTGGGAGGCTGAGGCAGAAGTGTTGCAACTTCAAGCCCAGCCTGGACAACTTGGCAAGACCTTTTCTCAAAATGAAAAATATAAAGGACTGGGGATGTAGCTCAGTGGTAGAGCACCCCGCCCTGGATTTAATCCCTAGTACCACCAAAAAAAAAAAAAAAAAAAGGAAAAATAAAATATTGTAAAAGGTCACATAGAAATTAGAAGAGAAAATAATATAAGAAATCAGTATTCAACAAATAGAAGTTCCAGAATAATACATTTTTCCATAACTGAAAAATTTAATGCCTTTTTACCCAATTTTTTTTCCCTCTTCTAACTATCCTTTCAAGAATTATCAGAAATCAARTATTTACCAGGATGCAGGGCACAGGGATCTTAGATCAGAAACCAAATAATCTATTAAATTTAATGTAGGATTAAATTCATGTTTCTTTCTGTTACTATTCTTCACCCCTCCCCTAAAACAAAACCATAGTACTATTATGTATTGCCTAAAGATTGATGACATCAGAATAATGATTTTTAAATTAAGTTGTATGTTAATACTATTCTCAGTTGAGATTAGTGAAACATGGACCCCTTAATCTTTAATAGTAAACTACACCCACTACACCCACCTTCTCCCATAATTTAATCAGCACCTGTCAGTTGGATGGTTGGTCACCCAAAGTTATTTCTCTGCCAAAACATTGCTTTTTGTTAGCACCACTTTACTCAGATTTGTGACAGCCTGAATAGATCTCTGGGGAAGAGGGAGATGTCTTGGTAGTCTTTTAAAAAAGAAGAAAAAGAATGGAGTTACTTTGAGCAATTGATTAATTCTTTCAGACATATTTGAAGTAACAGCCAAAAATAAATAAATAAATAACTGTAGCTGTGACAAATTTGTTGATAATTCTTCACAATACCCAAGAAACTACCTAAAAGTCTTATGTTTATTATACACTTTATTCCCTTAATAATGGTAGTTACATCATTCTATGTAGAAGATAATCTACTGTTTCTTTTTTTAAACTTGTCTTGTGATATATATCCTATCCCACTTGAAGAAAGCAGCTTTTGGTTTGGCTTTGGGATTTTGGGGCGGTGCTTGGGAGCACACTACCTAGTGCATGTTAGGCAAGTATTCTACCACTGAGCTACGTCCCTAATCACCAGAATTTATTTTTACTTAAATTTTAATTTTGAATATTCTTTGTGAGATTGATCTAAACTAAGTACTTCATAACTTTAATTATTACTGACATTTATTGGACTATAAAGAGTAGTATAAATTACACATGAATAATTAGTGAATTTTGTTTTCATAAAGAAGTAAATGTTTTTAAGTACTTACTATGTTGTGTCAATCATTGTTTGAAAGTCTTCATTTATAAGTAATATTTATAAATATTTAATATTTATACTCATTTAGCCACCTCATGAAGTAGATATTATTATTGACCCTGTTTTATAAATAAGGAAAGTGAGATACAAAGGACTGAAGTGATTTGCTCCTGAGTTTATACAGTTGTGTAAAGGAAGAGTTATTATTGTAATTCTTTTAAAACATGCTAAGAAATAATTTGGAGAAGAAAAGAATATTCCAAGGAGATAAAGTCTATATTGGGTTGTCACTGTGTACATCAAGCAAGACAGAAGGGCTGGGGATATAGTTCAGTGCAAGGTCCTAAGTACCACAAAAGAAAAAAAAAATTGTTGCAGTCAAGACAGAGATCTTTACTAGACTTTCAGTAAGAAATTTCAGGCTGACATCTGTCTATGGTATAATAGGTGTGTATTTTTATCAGCTCAAGTATAAGTTATACTGCCTCTTTCCATGAGAAGAAACAGATACTTATAGCCTCTCATTTGTTCTTGCTTCCAGAAGATGAAATACATGATTTACAGTAGAAATAAGAGGTTTACATGATTCTTTTTATTCTTCTAAGAAGGTATAAAGCATATTAAAACTATATTTGTGTACATAAAGTATCAAAATTTTACTTAACCTCTGCCAAGAATAATTCAAAGAATTTACAGAAATTCTGAAGCCAAGACTTATGAGCAAAACCAAAATGCTACTGTCTGCTTTATACACTTTCCAACTGATATTCAAAAGCAATTATCATTTAACTTAGATTATTTTAGCTTGTTCTAACTTAGTATTATCTCATATAATTGTTTAAAGAGTATAAGCTGTGAGAAGATGCTATGAGAAATGGAAAGAATTCATTCTTCTGTTTAGTAAACATTCTAGTAGATTGTTATGGGACATAGTGACTAACATTACAGAAATCTTTAAATAATCAATGTATGTTTTCTTATCAATGTTTTGCAGCGCAAGACTCACCAGTTTTTTGTAAAATCATTCACTATTCCTACTAAATGTCATCAGTGTACCTCTTTGATGGTGGGTTTGATAAGACAGGGTTGCTCATGTGAAGGTAAGAAAAAATGGAAAAATTGACTTGTTTGAGCACCACTTTGTTATAACATTTCTACCTAAATTGTAATTGAGTAACTTTATTCTCTTTAAAAGACACACAAATGTTTGTTTCATTTAATCATTTGCTTTTCTCTGGATAACAAGAATATAGATAATAAACTGAGCACTTGCTAAAGTCTTTTGGATATTAGGGAAATTAGACAAATGTTCCCTAGAAATATTTTTCAGGGGAGATATATTTGAATATGTTTAATTCATCTTTGTTTCATTATTTGCATAAATTAATGGCCCCCCAAACCATTAACCTATATGACAGAAGCCATGGAAGTTATCCTTGGATATATTCATTCAATTTTAACATTGTTTATTTTCAGAAATTAAATATTTGCCACTATGCCTTAAAAGAAAGTTTATTCCTAGTATTAATAGTAGAAGTTTTTCTTCCTCATTCATTGGTTTACCTGTCATGTATTTGTGGAATGCTTAGTGAATGTGAGAAGGACAAAGGTGCTACACTTGTGGAGCTCACATTTTGAGAGATGGGGTGAAAGGATCAGGGGTCATTTAAATAGAAAAACCAAGCCTATTTGTTTGAGTACTACTTTATGTTTCCTAGATCTCTAAAATGAAAATGATTTAAATGATAATAGGATATATTATCATTTGTGACTTTTAGAAATATGAATTCTTTTTTAACTTTTAATTAATGTATTTATTTCAGTTAGTTATATATGACAGCAGATTACATTTTGACTCATTGTACACAATTGCAGCACAACTTTACATTTCTATGATTGTACACGATATAGCATCACACCATATGTGCCAGTCATACATGTACCTAGGGTAATGATGTCCTTCTCATTCCACTATCTTTCCCTGTGCACAGAAATATTAATTCTTAGTCAGATGAGACTTGCCACTACAAAACCACCTTATATAGGTAAAACCACCTTATATAGGGACTAGTGGTATATCTTATGAAAAAGACAAGAAGATAGTTGCTAATTCAAATTCTAATACTAGTTTCTGTTTCTTAGCTTTTCTGCTTTTAGTTTTGAAAAGGAATTTGGATGGAATATAGACACTCTCCATTTCAGGTGCTGAATTCGCTGAATTCTGGGAAGCTACCTGGTTATTTTTTTTATGCATCAGAATTACTTGTAATTCCATAGTAGGAATTTGGGGACTCTTCCCAGTCTCTCTTACTTCTGGAGTCTTGTGCCATGAAATTGTGCCTTTTTTTTTTTCCTCAACTCCTTGAGGTCTACCTTATAAAGCCATGAAAGTGCATTAGACTATCTCAAGCCTTTGTCTAACAAGCTTTTGTAAATGTTGTGGTAATGTGTTATAGTCTCTGATGGTTACTATCATTTTTATTTCTTCCTTGTTGATTAAAATTAAATCTAGTTTATAGATACTTATTTTGTTGTTTCAGCTGCCCTTGGGAAATGAGTTTTTTCCTTATTAGCAAAATGAATTATAACTTTAGATATTCTACTTAAAAGCAAATGATAGCCTGGCACAGTGGTGCATGCCTCTAATCCCAACTACTTGGGAAGCTGAACCAGAGGATCACCAAGTTCTTTGCCAGACCCATCTCTCGAAATATATTTTTTAAAAGGCCCAGGATTTAGATCAGTGGTAGAGTGCCCCGGGTTCAGTCTCCAATACATGGGGTTTGGGGGGACAAATTGAGAAGTTTGTAGTTTTTGGAAGTCAATGCTAATCCATCCTGCCTTTCTGTTCATTTCATAATGTCCATCAGTGATATATAATCCATTTTTCTCAAATTTAAGTATTCCCACGGTGATATCCTTTAGTTCCTCTCTTATTCTTTCCCTAGTTTTCTCCAGGAACCACCTTAGGAGTAGGAATTATAATATATGTAGTCTATACCCCTTGCCAAAAAACTTGGTTTTTTTAAAAAAAAAATTTTACCTGTAATTTTTACCCAACCAAGTCTCATTGAAACCTATGAGTTCATTTTTATTTATAATCTTGTCTTAGAATCTCCAGTTCATCGTGTAAGTATCAAATAGAGGAATCATGGCAATACTGTTAGTGGTAAGGTATGCAGGATCTGAGCAAAACTGTATGAGTTTGAATTCTACCACTGCCACTTCCAAGCTCTGTGACTCAGGGCATAGGTTACTTAGGGATTAAAAACTATACCCCATTTATATTGTCATAGAAAGATTTAAGATGCTCAAGAAAATTAACAGTTATTATCTAGTGGTAGTTTAAGTATATGGGATATTAGTAACTCCAAAAATTTACCATTAGCTTATACCTTTTTTTAAATTCATTGAAAAATTCTATTTTTAAGAAGATTGGTAAAACTTGCCACATGTAGCATCTCGTCAGGTAGCTTAATGTCCATTAATGACTCTTGCAAGATACATTTCAGAACAGATACCAAGTTGCAGTAAGATGAAGAAATAGAAATAGTTCCAGAAACCAAATTTTTAGCAATTATAAGTTTAACCAATCATTTTGTGCACAGGGTTAAATATTTTTCTTATCTGTTTGCTTCCCCCTTTGACCACTAATGTTAACAGAGAATAATAGGATTACCAATGATAAAAATATTTACTATTTCTCATTAAAATCCTTATTGGTAAGCAGATGAGTAGCTTTTCAAATGATAAGACATCATTTGAAATGGTGTTTAAAATAAAAAATAAGCATTTACTTAACAGAACACCTTGCATACAGTTAGTGCACTGTGAATTGTAATTGTTATAGTCATTAAAATGAAYTTTTAACATATGTTGTCTTTTTTTCCTTTCAAAAGTGTGTGGATTCTCATGTCATATAACTTGTGTAAATAAGGCTCCAACTGCTTGTCCAGTTCCCCCTGAGCAGACAAAAGGTCCCCTGGGTATTGATCCACAGAAAGGAATAGGAACAGCATATGAAGGTCATGTCAGGGTAAGTATCCTTAGTTCAGATTTAGATGCATGTTTTAAGATTATGAATGAGTTTAAATAAAATCAAGTCATTTATGAACATAACATTTGACAAAAAAAATGAAATGAACAAAATTCGTCTAATAATTTTATGTCATCCAGACCAGCAGAACAATTTGAAAATGAAAACCTACTCTTTTCTTAGAAATAAATTCTAAAATGTCACAAACTTTTCTGTATTATCCCTATTTTATAATGAAGAGAGGTTGAAATCACCATAAAGGAGTCTTTGGCCTTTGCTCTTGCCAAAGAGGTACAGTATGGTTATGAATTACAAGATATTATCAAATAATAATCTTACTTGATTTGAATAGTATTTACATTGTTCTGCTGCCGCTAGCTTCATACTAGAGGTTCGAAACATAGAAGTTAACTAGTGAGTTCAAATTAAAGACACATAACACTCAATTTACCTTTTTTCTTGCCCAGCTCAGAGACGGCCCCTCCCAGCTCCTGCCTCTAGCCATCTGGCGGTAGCGAGGTTTACACAAGAGACCAGCAAAAGAGAAAGAGGCATGCCAGAGAGGAAGCTTTTATTGGGGAACAAAAAAATTCAGGGGAAAATTCCATCCAATGAAGGTCCAGGGGGACAGCATTCCAAGGTCAGGGTCAGTGATTGGTTATTAGGTCAATGGTCAGTCATACCCCCACATGGACAAGCCCTCGCACCTGGAAAGGGTGGGAAAAAGCTCTGACACAGCTGGTCTGAACGCCTCACACCCAGCCAGGGAGGTAGCTCAATCACGTGCAAGAACAGCTTCCCACAACATTGTAAGCTGAATTTTATCTTACTACCAAATTTGACGCTTTGCTTTTTTAGGAGAAGAAAAGAAAGAAAGAAACCCTGAGTGTCATTTTAATGAATTACTAGCAATAGTTAAAATGATTCTTTTTAATAGTCTTTCATTAAAAGATGATAGTATTTGAAGAATATGTTCTCACTTTTTCTCTTAATGTTATTAATGATAAGTGTCCCATTTACTTTACCAAAGTGACAGACTTGTACATTCTCGTTAGGTTTTCACCTTACAGTTTCATATGTAATTTAAAAGGCTTTGATTGCCACTCTCATTTGATGTGTTTTTGTTTGTTTTCCTTTCTGAAAGATCCCTAAGCCAGCTGGAGTGAAGAAAGGATGGCAGAGAGCACTTGCTGTGGTTTGTGACTTCAAACTTTTTCTGTACGATATTGCTGAAGGAAAAGCATCTCAGCCCAGTGTTGTCATTGGTCAAGTAATTGACATGAGGTAAGCCTTCAGGGGTGAAAAGATTTGTATCTCTGCAGCATAGGAATTACAAAGTTTTTATTTTTCTTCTTGCTATAGTCATTAAAATGAGTTTTTATCAAACATTGTGTCTTTTTCCCCTTTAAAAGCAAGTGGATTCCCATATCAGATAACTTGTATCAACAGAACTCTAGTATTGTCATGTTTTTACTAAATAATCTAATTTCATGTTAATATTCTAATTTACTAATATTGCTGTAGTAATATTAGTAAATTAGAATATTACTACAGAAATATTAGTAAATTAGAATATTAAAAGTAGGAAGTAAGACGCAGTTCTGGGAGAGTATGTAGGGTTTGGAGCCAGATAAGGGCTGGGTACGTGACTCAGTAGTAGAATGCTTGCCAGTATGTATGATGCCCTGAGTTCTATCCCCAACACAGCTGGAAGGAAAAAAAATTGAGCCAAGTAAAAGCAAACGATTTTTGGGTCCCAAAGACCTATTTAAAGCCAGGAGGGGAGGGGAGTGAAGAAAGTCCTAAAGTATAATGTTTATATCATTACCTAGAGACGTAGTATGATTCAGTGTGAGGATTATCAAGTGATATATCAGACAACCTATTGGAAAACAATGAATCAGGAAACATTTAAGTAAGCCAGATCTTTAATGATTTTGGTTTGATTTTCCAGATTCTTCCCCTTGCCCTGTTGAGTGCCCTCGTGTTCCTAAGGGACCTTATTTACTCCCATAGCTTCTGCCATCATTTCTGCCTTTTTGGGTCCCAAACATATATCAGAAATAGCCATTCATTGCTCAAAACCTACATTTCCTAGCTGTGCTTTACACTGGCATTTTACCCCTGCATCTCAAACACGTTATCTTTTACCTCACATTTGGAATATGAAGGAATTCATGCAAGAAATATCAGTAGGAAAAATCTGGCAGAACTTGCTAAGGGACTGACTAGAAAGATAGAGAAGGCCAGGTGTGATGGCCCATTCCTATAGTCCTAGCCACTTGAGAAGCTAAAGCAGGAAAATTGCTTATATCTAGGAGGAGTTCAAGGTCATCTTGGGTAATATATTTGAGACCCTGTCTCTTAAAAAAAACAATAATTTCACTATTTTCAACAAGATGCCCCAATTTTTTAAAAAAGAAACACAGTTGTGGGGGAGGGAATCAAAGAAAGATTAAAATGTGAAGGGTTTAAGACTAAGGGAATGATGGTACAAATAACAAAATTAAGGAAAAACTTTCTGTGGAGGAAATCTTCTTTCATATGTTGATAGAAAAATAAAATGTCAGATGATCTAAGTTGAACAAACTTGAGATTTATTATGGAGAAAAAGGATTCTTTTAAAGGCTCTAAAGACCTAGCAGGGTTCAAATCCTAGTTCTCTATGTATGCTTACTGGCCTTATGTCTTTGGACTAGCCAGAAAACATTTGTAGCTCTTGTATAATGTGCCTCTGTTAAATTACTGTGTGTGTGTGTGTGTGTGTGTGTGTGTGTGTGTGTGTGTGTGTATGTATGTATGTTGTGCTGGGGATTGGACCCAGGGCCTTGTGCATGCGAGGCAAGCATTCTACCAGCTGAGCTATATCCCCAGCCCTGTTAAGTTACTCTTGATAAATTACTTTGGGTACTGTTGGTTACAATGGGGAAAAATCAAATTTTTTAAAGTTTCAAGTTAGGTGTTTTGTGCAGTTAAGCTTTGAGGATTGCTTCATATATATTTGGTTACATAATCAAAACTCCACATATATAGCCACTTAAACTAACTTCTAATGTTTCACTTTTCTTTCAGAGATGAAGAATTTTCTGTGAGTTCAGTCTTGGCCTCTGATGTTATTCATGCAAGTCGAAAAGATATACCCTGTATATTTAGAGTAAGTGTATTCTACAATTTGATCACTGAATTATTTGTCTTTAATGAATATGTTTTTCCTCTTTATGTAAATCATAAACCAAATCTAATATTGCTTTTTATGTTCAATATCATCTGATACTTGCATTTATGCTAAGTTTAACTAAGGAAAGACCTATAGAAAATATAAATACATGGCTTCTAAAATATGTTCCCTAACAGGTAATATTTTTTAGTCCAAATTCAATTTTCAAATAAAGATTCCTTCTTGGAAAATTAAATAAGTGTGAGGTTTCTCAATTTTTTTTTTAAAAGAAGTTTCTCACTTTAAATATCTTATTTCAAAATCATGCTTATTTCCTATCACCTTGTAACAATGGTCCCAGATCTTAGACACTTAAACCAACAACATTTTATTATTTTCATCATTCTGTGAGTCAGCTGTACAGTTCTCATGGTGTTAGTTAAGGTTACTCACAGGACTGCATTCAGCTCTTTTGGAGCTTAGAGTACCCAAAATGACCTTGTCCTTATGTCTGTGGCCTTGGTGCTAGTTCTCTTCATTGACTTTCTGTATGGTCTCTTAACAATTTGATAGTCTAACTGAACTCACAGTGGCTGGCTTCCAAGAGACCAAAAGAAGCAGCTGGGCCTTATAAGGAAGGACTAGACCCCAAACAGGCATAATAACCCTTCTGCATTCCATTGATCAAAGGAAGTTATGAGGTCATCCCAGATTTGAGGGGAAAGGAAATGGATTTGACTTGTTAATAATAATAGAAGAATGGAATTCTATAGTAGGGAATTGTTGATAGCCATCTTTCAAGGCTGTATACCAAAATGTGATCTTAAAATGGTGAATTAAGACAATAGATATTTTTTTAAAGCTGCCCTGTTATGCCTGTCTGCATACTATTGTCTATGAATTTTATGTCTCAGGAAGGTCAAAGACAATAACCTTGTCTGATTTCTTGGTTCCTACACTGGTAACTATTTCATTCTCCCTCTGGCCACCAAGAGAGCCTATAGAGCCTGCTTATCAATCATTAATTTGCAGTGTGCTTTTTATTGTCATTGATGCTTAAATTAGTTTAAGAAGAAATCTGTATATATAAAATTCAAAACTGTTCTGACCATGATTTGTAGAAGGATGAACTTCCATTTAAACCCTTTCTGGTGCTCTCATCTTCTTTAATAATAATGTGAGTTATTTTTATAAAGTAACAGAACATAAATATTTCCTAGCATTCCCGACTTTTCAAAACAGTATGGTATAGCACTTAAGAGCATACACACAGGATCCCAGACCTCTAGCTATTTTCCCTTGTAGAAATTATTTAATCTCTTTATCATGGCTTTATCATATATAAAATGAAGTTATAATAACAATTTCTATCTCATGAAAATGGTAAGAGGTTCAATTTGTTAATACTTGTGTTTAAATCTACTCAGTAATTACTCTCTAAATGTCAGTTGTTATATGAGTATGTGTAACACATTTTTTATTATAATGTTTTGGCACCTTTATAGCAAGGAAGATGAAAAGTCAGGAATGCTAGGAAATTTTATGATTTTGATTGGTGTATCCTACCTTTGCCTTGGCAATAATCCTAGTGCTAGAACTAGTTATTCCGATTAAGTATAGCTAAATTCTATTAAAGGGATCATTTAATGAATTCTCATTTTATTGGTGAGTGCTAAGCAAACTAGTCTCCTCACAAAACTAGCCTACTTATGAAACTAGCATAAAGGGTGTCTGTTTTCTAATATAATGAATATTGATTAAATTCTTCTAGGTCACAGCTTCCCAGCTGTCAGCATCCAATAACAAGTGTTCAATCCTGATGCTAGCAGATAGTGAGAATGAGAAGAGTAAGTGGGTGGGAGTGCTGAGTGAATTGCACAAGATACTGAAGAAAAACAAATTCAGAGACCGCTCAGTCTATGTTCCCAAAGAGGCTTATGATAGCACTCTACCCCTCATTAAAACAACCCAGGCAGCTGCAATCATAGGTATGAATTTATAATATTTATCATATTATTATAATTGTTTACTGATCTACCTTGTGAGCTGGGGATTGGCTTTCATCTAGGAATCCCCACTGTCCAGCATAACATGAATTATATCATAGATGTTCAATAAATGTTTATTAAGTGAATGAGACCTATTAGATTTTTATTTTTAAGCAGTTACACTAAATACATTCCCTTCTGAAAAAGTGATATTACTAAAGACTAACTTAATAATCCATTTTCTACTTATGTGAATTAGAATAAATTAATTTCTTAAAGCATAATTTTCACATGTAATGCATAAGATACTAATTACCTTGCTAATGTTATTGAGAAATTTTAAAATCATGGTATATAAACACATAGTACTCTGCATTAAAAAGCCCTCAGTAAACAGAAGCTTCTGAATCTGGAGATATAAAGTTTTGCTACATTCTTACATACATATCCATCTCTTGTTACTTAGGGTTCAATACTTGTGTTAAAATACCTGACACAATCTTTTCCTCCAAAAACAATATATTGAACTGGACCTAGGGTACTAACAAAGTAGGTTTTTAATTGTTTTTCACAATTTATTGAATAAACAATTACTTATTTTTGTAGGTATTGACATGGGATATTTTTTAATGATTTTTCTATTTTAAAACACATGATAAATTTATCACTGGTAATTTGAAAGAAAATTTCATAGTGTAAATTGTTACTGTATTTTGATTATTTACTTATTTTCATTTTTGCACCTCATTTTCTTATTTCTGTTTTATTCTATTAGCTTTATATGGCTTTTAGCTAATAAAATTGTCTCATATTTGTGTTTTACACAGATCACGAAAGAATAGCTTTAGGAAATGAAGAAGGGTTATTTGTTGTTCATGTCACCAAAGATGGTAAGAGAAAACCTAATCATTTTAGAGTAACTTTAAATCATATGTTAGAAAAATTTTGCTCAAGTCTAAATTCTAAAAAGAGTAGGATTTGCTCTTCCATATTCTATAAGTGAAATTTTCCAGGCACAATTTGATATATTCTAAATCAAAAGATTATTTTTTAATTTTTATAATTCTCCTAAGCAAGTGTATATTATCTTTCTTATGTCATCTTATTTAGCGGTTCTGCTATATGAACTCATATTGTACTTCAAAGGTGGCACGTGGAAAATTTTTTTAGTTTTCCTAAAATTAGTATATTATCATAATTAGTCTTATTAGAAGGTAATATAAATTATAACAACTATTAAAATATGCTTATTGGAAATCCTCCCACCCCCACTGTAATACAACAGGTTTATTCGTCCTTTTTGCAGGGTGAGAAGGAGGTGGTTACTGTGTGTTGAACCCAGGAGTGCTTTACTCCAACATTTTTGGTTTGTTTATTTTTGAGATAGGATCTTACTAAATTGCTGAGGCTGGCTTGAACTTATGATCCTCTGCCTCAGCCTCCCAAGACAATGGGATTACAAGTGTGCACCACCATGCCTGACCAACAGTTTTTTTCCTACAGAAAAATTAAATGCTGGGTGAAATAGAAAACAATTTAGTTTGATATTTATAAATATAATATTCTAAGTTCTAATTTTATATCAAGTTATATCATGACAAATTAATTCATTTAAATGTCACTGGTTTGATACCATAGAAACACTTTCAGAGTACTACTAGTTATGCGGTTACCCAGTTTTTAAAAATAGCAGCCTCACGGTGAAATTCCCTACAGTTTAGTACCAATAAAAAAAGTTTTCTTGGGCTGGGGGTGTGGCTCAAGTGGTAGYGTGCTCGCCTAGCATGCATGAGGCACTGGGTTCAATTCTTAGCACCACATAAAAACAAAATAAAGATATTGTGTCCATCTAAAAAAAAAAAAAACTTAAAAAAACATTAAAAAAAAGTTTTCTTAAAAACTGGCATGCTTTCAATTAAGAACTCTGCCTTGACTGTCAGAGATCTGTGCCAAATTTAATATAGGAAAGTTAAATGATTTTACAATGGGTTTAAATATCTTTCTTTTTCTCTGTAATTTCTGATCTCTTATTCTATGTGTACCTCTCCATCTTTAAATAAAGATGACATATACTTCTGAGTATAATTTGGATGACTTATAAAACTATTTTGCATTTGATTTGTTATTTCTGCATATAGAAATTATCAGAGTTGGTGACAATAAGAAGGTTCATCAGATTGAACTTATTCCAAATGATCAGCTTGTTGCTGTGATCTCAGGACGAAATCGTCACGTACGACTTTTTCCTATGTCAGCTTTGGACGGGCGAGAGACAGATTTTTACAAGTTGGCAGAAACTAAGGGGTGTCAAACTATAACTTCTGGAAAGATGCGCCATGGAGCTCTTACATGCCTGTGTGTGGCTATGAAAAGGCAGGTTCTCTGTTATGAACTATTTCAGAGCAAGACCCGTCACAGAAAATTTAAAGAAATTCAAGTCCCATATAATGTCCAGTGGATGGCAATCTTCAGCGAACAGCTCTGTGTGGGATTCCAGTCAGGATTTCTAAAATACCCCTTGAATGGAGAAGGAAATCCATACAGTATGCTCCATTCAAATGACCACACACTATCATTTATTGCACATCAACCAATGGATGCTATCTGCGCAGTTGAGATCTCCAGTAAAGAATACCTGCTGTGTTTTAACAGCATTGGGATATACACTGACTGCCAGGGCCGAAGATCTAGACAACAGGAATTGATGTGGCCAGCAAATCCTTCCTCTTGTTGTAAGATTCTCTTTCTTATGGCTGTCTTTATCTTCCTGTCGTCTTCCTTTTCTTTTTCCTTCTACTTCAACAAAACATAGTCATTGTTAATAACAGGTTATTTTTTTAGAATGATTCTGAAAGTTTTCCTTAGTATTAATTATGTTATTTATGTAAAGTAACCATATGTAGTTAAGACTAAGCAAATAGAGTCAATAGCACATAATGAAAACTAATCTTTCTATGGAATATTTTACTGAAATGGAATTTTTTTTATCTTGTGTTAGTCATTTTTAAATAACTCAAGTAGCTCTTTTCATTGTTCTCCAAAATACAGTGCTCATAAGTATCAGTAGCACATAGGACTTATTCTTGAGAAGTAATTACTAAGTGAATTATTTAGTTAGGAAAAGAAAAATGTAGTTTCTCTAAGAAGTGTTATTCAGTTTTATATGTTTATCTAGATGGGCAGATATTTAAAGTTGCCTATTTCATTTTCAAGAAATATTAAAAATAAATTATTGTATAGTTTTATTGCTACATAATAGTTTATTTATTACTGAATACATGCCATGTCACTGTATGAAATAGTGAAGTAGTCTGCCTTCTCAGAGTATAGAATGCAATAGAAAATATTCATGTCACAACTAGGAGTTTCAGTAGAAAATGAATGCTATAATACCTGAAGTGAGAGTTCAATAGAAGCTTGTAATAGGAGTATCTAACCCAAATTCTTTTGTTTGCAATGGAAGATTCTTGAGCATGTTTAAATGCTGAAAGGAAGAAACCATTAGGGAACCACTTGGAGAAGTTGACAATCTGGGAAATACAGAAAACAGTCAGATTCCCAATAAGGCAAATGAGGATAAATTCAGAACACAGGTGGATGACAACTCAGAATAGGAGGAGTGAAATCTCTCCCATTGTAATGTTAAGACAGGAATAAGAAGGAATGGTGGGAATGAGTCCTGTCAGTTCTAAAGGTTCTGTTAAAAAAAAAAAAATAGAAGGACTATTAAGGCTTATTACAGAAAAATTAGGAAACCTAGATTTAAAAAAAAAAATAACCTATAATTCTACCCACTTAGATTTATTTTGTGGCCCAAGGGGTGGGGAATGTGCCAGGGATTGTACATCAAATTTAACTATTTTTAAAGTCTTATTTCTCCTGGATGTCAGATTCAACTACTTTTAATGTTTTATTTTTTCTGACATATATGCTCTCATTTATAGCTTAATATATAGAATGAATACTGTTTGTAACTGAGTTCCATAGTTCAAAATATCCTAACATGAAGTAAAAGTTGGAATATCTGACTTTTATTTATAACTTTGCCAATAWTGCAGTTCATGACCTTAGTTTACACACTCATTTACTGTCTCTTTGCTCATATTGCCATTTATTAATATTCTTCCAAGAAATATTTATTGAATATCTACACTATTCATGTAATTATGCTCAGGTAATTTATCATACATTCATAATTGGGGGTAGAACACTTACCTGAAGATTTCTCTACTTTGTAAGTTTGTTTCACTGTCAATAACTTAACTACTTTAAGAGTCAAACACTTTTAACATGTAATGAAATTGCTTTATTAGCTAGATGTTAATAGAATTCTTCTGTAATAAAGGGTTCCCTTATAATTTATGTTCTCTTTATTTCAAAAATATTGTAATGTGGTTCTTATATGATAACAATAGGCTTTTGGTGGGATTCTACTCTACAGTTTTAAGACAGAACTTTCAAAATTATTTGGGCTTAGTAGTTTAAAATAATCAGTAGGTTGTCCCTTCCTTTCCTTTTCCCAGGTTACAATGCACCATATCTCTCAGTGTATAGTGAAAATGCAGTTGATATCTTTGATGTGAATTCCATGGAATGGATTCAGACTCTTCCTCTCAAAAAGGTAATTTGGCATTAAAATATGAGCTGAGCTGGCTTATTTTTGATAGGTAGCTAAACTCCATACTATTCATATTACATTTAGTTTCTCTTATATAAAGTCTGATTGTGAACTTGATGAGCACCTAGAATATATCATACAATCTAAAATGTCAATGTTATCATCTACTTTGAGATTAAAGAGCTTCAGGAGAGTATGTGATTATTATTAATCATAACTTTTTCACATAATGATATGCAATGTTTAATCCTGCAAAGACAGATTTCATGGATAGGGAAGTTATTCAACTTGGAACTGAAACTGTTTAGCTGAGTCATGATTTAGAAATAGAAGTGTTCCATATTACTAATAAAACATAATATTTCCCCTTAATATTCCTCTATTGTTTCCATAACAAAATTTTTACAAGTGTAGAACTACTGTTTTGCAAAAATAAGATTACCTCTAGATAGGGAAGAGAGGTGGGAGGGAAAGGGAGGGAGAAGGAGAATTGCGTGGATTATGGAAGGAGACCCTCATCGTTATACAAAATATATGTATGGAGATGTGAGAAAAAAAAAAGAATAGCGTTACCTTAGATTAGATAGAGAGAAGTGATGGGAGGGGAGGGGAGGGGTTGGGGGGATAGGAAGGATAGTAGAATGAAACAGACATTATTATTACTGTGTGTATATATGTGACTGCATGAGCAATGTGATTCTGCAACCTGTACACTCAGAAAAATGAGAAATTATATCCCATCTAATTCAAATGTATGATATGTCAAGGTCATTGTACTGTCATGTGTAACTAATTAAAACAAATTTAAAAAAAAAAAGAAAAGTACTATTTTCATATAGACGTATATAGTATTTAGAATGTACATCATTGGTAAAATGATAGTTGATAGGACTAGGTGAAACAAAGTAGCCAAGATCATATTTTATAATGTGTCCAATTTTAAACCATATCAATAGTGAAAAACAACTCTTGTAAGTATTGCCACATTATATAAAGCAACTACAACGTGGTCCTCTATTTTATAAATTTTGACTGACTCTACTAAGTTTTCTGGGCTTTTATTCCATGTAATTTGCAATATATATGTTATCTTTATGAAGCATATTAATAAGCTAATCACTTGTGAACCCACCTCCCTTTTTGATACCTCAACCCTTCCCTCAGAAAGTCAGTATCCTGAATGTCATGCTTATTGTCCCTATGCTTTCCTGAAAATACAGATTTTTGCACATTTAAATATTCCTAAACAATATATTATTTCGTTTTGCTTGGTTTTGAGATCTATTAAAATATTGTGATATATTGTCACTTTTTACCTTTGTTTAACTCATTTACTGGGCTTCAAAGATCTATACCTGTTGCTACCTCTACTGTGTAATTCATTGTGTAAATTCATTGTGTAAAATAGCCTACTTGCTATTTATTCATTCTCTGATTAACAGACATTTTAATTATTTTCTAGCTTTTGCTATTGTGAATGTTGCTGCATATTATCTGGGGTAGATGTGCAAGAGTTTAAGTCATATACCTAGGAATGGAATTGATGAGATTCTTACCCACATCTTCTCTAATACCTGTTGTTGTCAGCATTCATAGTTTCATAAATGGTTTCATAAAATGGTATCACATTGCAGTATTAATTTGCATGCCCCAGTTAACTGTGTGGTTGGGAGTCTTTTCTATATCTATTCATCATTCGTATTTCCTTTTCTGTGAAATGCCTACTCATGTTTTTTGCTCATTTTTGCCATCTTGTTGATTTATTCTACTTCTTTATGTAATATGTCCTGTTTTAGTAATGCATGGTAAATCTTGTTCATTTGTGACTTGTGGGTTTATTTTTCAGAACAGAAGTTATTGTTTACTAATTTTACTGTAGTTAAATGTACTTTCCTGTTCTTTAGGTTTGTTTTTTTTTTTTCTATTTAAGAAACTTTTCCTAGCTTAAGGTCATAAAGATATAACCTTTGTTTCCCTCCAAATGTTTTGAAATGTTGCTTATTATATGTCTATCTTTAATCCATTTGTAATTGATTTTTTTTTTGCTTGTAGTATGAAATAGGGATTCTGTTTTATTTTGTTGTTGCTCCATTATCATTTATTAATAATTCTTCCTTTTCCCAATCATCTGTACTTTTATCTTTATTATATGTAGATCAAGGATTTGATGATAAGAGCTCATAAAGCAACTATTGATATTTCTTAATGTAATTATTTGGTCACTGATAGCTTTAAAAGGTCAAACTTAAGGTTTAAATGTATTTCTACTTAATTTTATTTATTTGTCCAGGATATTCTTTCTTTAAAATGTGATAAGTTTGTTTGTCCAAATTAGATATAATGCCTTCACAATCAAAATTATTAGCATTTTGGGTTTTTTCTGAAAGGACTGTATTTTGAAGTATATAAATAAAAGATCTTAATAATATATGCTTTATGTACAGGCCAAAAGTTTTATGATTTAATTTATAAAAGTTTTGTTGAAGTACTTATTTTATTTTTTATTATTTTAGGTTCGACCTTTAAACAGTGAAGGATCTTTAAATCTTTTAGGATTGGAGACAGTTAGATTGATATATTTCAAAAATAAGATGGCAGGTAAGAAAACAGAACATTAATAGTAATAGCTTCAATGGAAATATTATTTTTCTTCTGACTGCCCAATGTCATATGAATAATGAGTGCTAGAGTACAGATTTAAAATCTTACATATCTTCCTCTAGAGTGTGTGATCTTGGCCACATACTGTTAATATATCCAAGACAGATTATTGGGCAAAAGTGATGCTATTTAAACTGTCATAGCTGATTTAACAACGTCTTTCATTCTGACATGCCTTGTTATTTTTCTGGGATATACCTAGGTAAGCAGAGAAAGTGTAGCTGAATATACTTCTATACTTAAAATACCATAGAACTTAAACAAAATTTGTGGCATTAAAATTAAGGACATTCATTCAGAATTCCATCTGGCGACTTCAGGAACCCATCTTTTGCCAATGCAAAGGGCTTAGTACTTCTAAAGTGCTGATGACAACTTAGAAGCAGAAAAAAGAGGAAAGTCATAAAAGTGCCTAGAATCAGAAGAGGGAGCAGGAACCCTAGGGGTTATAAGCATTTGGTCAGTGACCAAGTAGTAAGCTGAGATTGTCAAACCTGTGATTAATAGACCATATGTAAAATGCCATAGACTATACATGTAGAATTAAATGTTGTTTGCCATTAATGTGAGGCCAGACAGTTAAAATCTCACTTTTAACAAACAGTGTGCTTTTTTTCTATATAATAAAATCATTCTTATGTCAGAACTATTTAATGAAGAGGCACTTAATGATATATTGTGTATTTAAAGTAATATTTGAATTTACCTAAATATAAGTAAAAACATTGGCCTCAGGGAAATGTTAAAATGTTTATACCTGTTATCTGAAGGTCATGAGATTGATTATCTTCTTAATGCTTTTGCCCCTCATATTCCTTCAATAGTTTTTTAATGTTCTAATGTAAAAGAAATCCATCAAAAGCTTATGTTTATTGTTTTTTGTTTGTTTTGATTTTAAGTAATGAAATAATTGTTTGGTTTGTGGTTCAGTGCTTTGTTAATAGCTGTCTGTGTTAAAATGGTATACCTTTATGGTATGATTTGATAAAGGACATTCAAGTTTTAGGCATGATTCTCAATCAGCTTGATTTACCATGAAGCTAATGAAACTTAAGTTTCAGGTTTCCAAGACCCTATACTTAATTTTGTGTTCTGTTTCTTAGAGGAGCTTCACATATTTGTATAAAATTGGATCCACTCTGTTCTCACCGTATTTAATGCTGGTCATTAAATTTCTTTATATCCATGTTGTATCTGTAGGACAAAACCTATTCCACATGTCTCTTCCCATGCTTTCATCTTTCTGCTTCAGGCTAGGAGTGGAGGTAGAACTCTGAGAAAGGAGACGTGACAGGTTTCAATATCTTATTATTTGAGAAAGGAAGGAAATCCCATTTCCAAGAGATTCCTTCTTTTTCTCTCTCTCGCTTTTCCCTTCTGCAAAAGGGACAAATGCTCCTTTGCCTTCTGGCTGCCCCACATCTCTTGTCACCACCATAACTCAAAATTCCTGCTTTATCCTCATAATTCTCATATTCTAGAATGATGTCCCACATTCTCATCTACATTAAAGTCTATCCTTTTAATATTTGTTGTTGAGAAAATGATCTGATTAAGCAACATTATTATACCACAAGGAATGTGTTGCTTTTGTGGTAATTGTCTATTTTGGCTTGCCTTTTAGGCCCATTTGCCTTCTTTCAGCCTTTTTCTTCTTGCTTCAGCTTTACAGTGTCAAAAACTTGTAAAGATTGGCTTTTTTCCTTTTTCCTTATCTTATTTAGATAATGGCATACCCTGCCTGCCATGTTATATGGATAACAGTTGTCTTTTTACAAAAGACACAGACACAAAGCCCATCAGGTTTTTAGAGTTCCCAGTTTACAGTTGTTTCCTTCCAGATGTTAAAATTGAAATGGGACAAGATGGTCACCGGGTTGCTAGGAGTATACAATTATATAGTATCCAGCTTCAAGATAAGAAGATCAGAAGATTAGAATAGTGACAGATCCTTACCCTTCAAAAGGAGGATAATGGGAACACAGACCTTTCCTTATTCCACATCTCACAGGAAATTTTTATTATGTAAAAATAATTTTAATTATTTACATAAATAGCTTGCTATTTATGCCTGATTACACATTAATAATAGCATCTTTTGGGGGCTGGGAATATAGCTTAGTGGTGTAACTCTTGCCTGCCATGGGTTCTATCTCCATCACTGCACACAAATTAAAATAAATACCACAAAACCCCCATAATAGCAACTTTTTAATATCCTAAGCTACTAAACCCACTGATAGGTGGGTATGAGAGAAAATAGTATAGAAATATTGGGGGTGAATTGGCTGGTCAAAGGGACAGGACATCAAGGCAATTACAGTTTTCTTCTAGCAAAATTGTGTCATGTTTATAATGAAATAGAAGTGAAAATGTAAAATGTATTTTGCTAGTTATGTTTAATTTTAATATATATATATTTTTTATGGCACTAGGGATTGAACCTAGGAGTGTTCTATCTCTAAGCTACATCCCCACATTTTATTTTTGTATTAATATATGAAATTTTGTTATTAATATATGAAAATAATATTTACATAATACTACATAAATATAAGCATATATATTTTTACATGTCCTATTGAAAATTATTGCTGCCAGGTGTGGTGGTCCATGCGTATAATCCCAGCAACTTAGAAACTGAAGCAGGAAGATCCCAAGTTCAAAGCCAGCTTGGGCAACTTAACTTAGCAAGTCTCTGTCTCAAAATTTAAAAATAAATATATATATATATATATATATATATATTTTTTTTTTTTTTTTTTAAAGGGCTGGGGATCTAGCTCAGTAACAGAGTACTCCTGGGTTCAATTCCCAGTACCACACAAACACTCTATTATTGCTTATTTACTATGATTATCAATGCATGACTTTTAAAATTCAGAATTACATATACTTGTATAATTGTGCTACCATGGAGATTAATGGCTAAAAAGCAATTTAGCAATTTAAACAGCACCATTTTTTAAAAAACAGAAGGGGATGAACTGGTGGTTCCTGAAACATCAGATAATAGTCGGAAACAAATGGTTAGAAATATCAACAACAAACGACGTTACTCCTTCAGAGTCCCAGAAGAAGAAAGGATGCAACAGAGGAGGTAGATATATAATTTGTACTTATTGTCCATCTATGCTTCTAGCATCTGAGGGGCTATCTGCTAATAATACTATACTTGATTTGGAAAGACAATTTGGTATCTGAAAGTCTATCATTCATAAATGATATCAAAAACTGCAGGACTAGGAATATAGCTCAGTGATGAGTGTGTGTTTGCCTAGCATGTGCAGGGCCTTGGATTTGATCCCCAGTACCACAAAAGGAATTTAAGGGGGAAAAAAAAAACCTAAGTGCAATTATGACTGTAACCTCTCAGTGTCATTTTAATTAATAATCTCAAAGTTATGTGAATACACCGAATTAAGTACCATATTTTGATCCTCTTAGGTAGGTTTATGAAAGTAATAATTTGGGGGATGTATACTTTTCTACAGTACAAGCTTAAATCATATCTGTGCATATAGTAAACCTGTATATGTTTAAGAAATCCACATTGTTTTCTTCATGAACAAACAGAAATAGGCATATAGCATTTTCAGCTACATTTAAAAACATTTCTAAAATGTTATAAATTATTTTAAAAGATACCCATGAAATGTTGAGAATTATCTGTAAAAATCCAGCAGAAGTTCCTTGATATCTAAATATGAATAGACCTGTTGGGGGGTTGGATCTGAAGCTCACTTGCCTAGTATGAGCAAGGCCCTAGGTTCAATCCCCAGTACTAAAAATATAAATAAAAGGAATCTTCTTCTTTCCTACTCCAAATCATAATATCTTTTATTTAAAATTAAAAACATTTTAAGGAATTGAATTATTAATTGAATCTATTCTATTATTCTAATTATATCTTTATTAGCATGATTTAATCATTTTAAAGACAAAAATAAAGTATGTGTAATTTTTTTCTAGATAGATTTAGATAGATAGATTTAGATAGATTTACTGTGTAAAAAATATTTACATGGGTTTTTTTTTTTTTTCCTTACAGGGAGATGCTGCGGGATCCAGAGATGAGAAATAAATTAATTTCTAACCCAACTAATTTTAACCACATAGCCCACATGGGACCTGGAGATGGAATACAGATTCTAAAAGACCTACCTATGGTAAGAGAAATGAATGAAGAGTAAATATTAATGTGAATGGGGTGATAAGTAAGTGGGTGATATATGAGGGAAAATACATATATATCAGTATATATATGTAGACAGGTTTCACAGGACATATTAGTATAATGAGGAGATGGTTCTCTTATTATATTACAATATGTTAAGATACATGATGATATATATACCTGATGAGAAAAGCATAAATTTAGAAATCTGTCAAAAAACAAATAAATCAAGTTCTTATTTAGTTCTATACCCTAGAAATTTCTCCCTAAATCTGTTGTTGGTGGTGGGAAAAAAAAAAAAAAAAAAAAAAAACCTGCTATATTTGGGGACATTATAAATCAATTTCAGAACTTGGTTACCAAATCACTAAAATTTCACTAAGTTCCGTACAGGCATTTGGCCTTTTTTTCCCTTAAGATCCATATTAGCTTGTCAGTAATGGTTACACCTCTCAGCTAACTGTGAAATTAAATCTTTTTGCCCAATAACAAACTGGTCACTTGTACATAAAAAGTACAACATAGAAAAACGGTTGTGTTTTTAACAATATGAAGATCAGATTCTCAGATCTATTGAAATTAAAGATATTAGTAGAATTAGCTGATTATCCTGGCTCTGTTCTTAACACTTCAGTACCACATATACTCAGCAACTTATAAAACTTTAATATTGCCCTTCTGATCAATGGAGATGGCAGTAGAACTTTGCATAGATTTTTAAATATAGTTTTTATTTTATGGCAATTTGAGAGATGATTTATCAATCTCTCCCCAAATCTCCCACTAAGGAAATCTGTCTCAACCATGTTACCCAGCAGTGCTATGATGGAAGAACTGAGAAAATAAATAATATAGTTTATGCACTCAAATGTTTTAACATAAAAAAATAATTTAATAAAGGAAATTTTTACATTTATTTCATATGGGGAGGAAAAAAAGCTTGCATTCACTTGTATCTGAGTACTTTGTAATAAGTAAGCCCAACTAATCAGCTGGCTCTGCTTTTTCTGCTGTTATTTTTTTTCATCATTAAGACATTAWATTAAGCATGCAGCCAGGTATGGTGGGGCATGCCTGTAATCCCAGTGGTTGGGGAGGCTGAAGCAGGAGGATTGCAAGTTCGAAGCCAGCCWTAGCAACTTAGTGAGGCCCTAAGCAACTTGGCGAGACCCTGTCTCAGATAAATAATAAAAAACAGGCTGGGGTTGTGGTTCAGTGGTTCAATCCCTGAGTTCAATTCCTGGTACAAAAAAAAAAAAAATAGAAAAAGTATGCAAAAACTAGATTACATATGACCTTTGTRTAGAAGTAAAAAAAAAAAAAGGTCAAGCACATTAAATATTAAAACTGTTCTACTTGTTTATCATATTTAAAAGTTATACTTTTTTTTTCAACATTTACCTGGAGTGAGATCTCAAGACTTCTCTCTGTTCTTTTCCCATCTTGAACATTTGCTTCAAGTCCTCAGCCTGGTTTTCTTTTAGTATCAGAAGTAAAAGTAACATAACCACTCAGTCCCAAGCCTCTTGGTCCCCTCTTCCCATAGAAGTTACAATATCAGACGCAAAATATCCTAAGAGAGTTTTTTTTAATTATGATAAACAGTTGAAATGTGAGTATATTTATAGCTTATATTTGGAAGATCAAATGTTATGTATTATTTAAATAATTTTTAAAATTTTGCAATTTACTTTGTCAGTAGTTTTTTTCAATATATGGTACATAATTAATGTTATGGAGGGATAGAGGCATTCATATTTCAGATGCATGTATTGCAGAGCAACACACAAGCTAATACAAAATTTTTTCAGTAAAGTTTTGATAGGTTATTATTCTTTTAAAATTAAAATCTCTTTCCTTTTGTTCCATTTTGGTGTACCAAAGAAGAATATTTATCATGTCTTATATTCCAACAATGCAGCAAGAAGAATTATAGAAAATTTTTGTAGAAATTCTATTATATCCTATTTTCCTTAAGATTATGTCAATATTCAATAAGATGTTACTTTGCCATCAGATGATAGCAAAGTCTCTTTGCTAATGTACCAGCGTTCTTTCAGACCCTCATATACAATATGCACCCTGATTTCAAGTATCATAAGAAATTTTATATCAAAGTATTTGAATAATTCTTTACTTTTTCTCCCCTCACCCTTCCACCACTTAAAGTAAAACCTATATTTTACTTTTTGTTTCAATATTTTTTTTTTTTTACTAATCAAAACAAGTAACATTTTCCAAAGATTCATCCCCAATTCACTCCATAACACATGATCTTTGGTGCTGACTACTGACTCTAATTAGACCTTTTGATTTTCAGGGTATATGGTCACCTGATTTTGTTAATCTGTGGCCACCTTGTTGGTTCTTTTAGGCATTAACACAAGTGACTTTTTGCCCTCCCTATTCAATCCAGTTTTTAATGTTCCTTCCTTTCCTTTAATGTTTTCTTTCCATGTAAGAGCTTTTTTCCAGGACAGAAAATTTGGTGTAAATTTTTGAAACCTGTTTCTTCACATGTATATGTAGTATGCATCAAAGATTTTGTGTGTTTGAATTCTTGTTCTTCATGGTTATATGTTATTTTCATATGAATGTTCTCATTCATTACCAAAAGACATCTGAGCTGGGGCTTTTGATTGACATCCATTCAGTTACCTAACCGGTATTTCTTGAGCACATATTATGTTTCTGGGACTATGCTTATTTGGGGCTAGACATTAGTAAACTATAATAATTTGCATGTCTGGAAATAATAATAGTTTTCATGTCTGTATGTTTTGTACATATCTTCCCATTGAAAAGCTTATGATCTTTTCATGTTCTCAGATTTTAATATGTTCTTTTCACTGAAATGGAACTATTAAAAAATTTTCCAAAAAATACAGATGAATTAAATTCAGCTATTAACATATAAGTACTTTCACGAATTGTTGCCATCAGTGCAAAGAACATGTGCCCGAGACATTTTTATGTTTCAACTCATTCAAATCAGAATTGCTTTCTTATGAAGTATTTATGAGCTTAGAAAGTTTATTAAATGTCTTTAAAAGCTTAATTCTGTTTCTTTCATACTAAATGATCCTGAAATAGAATGTGTTTATTTTGTAAATATGGAAGCAACAGTAAGGCTATGGTCATTTTACTTTCTTATTTACTGTATCAGATGCAAACCCTTTTTGTAACTTAGCCAAGACTATTCCTAAAGTTGTTAATAAAGATAAAACATCTAGTTCAATGACTTCTTTGGATTTTAAGAAGTAATTTTGCTTCTTTGACTAGGAATGTAGCTCAGTGGTAGAGTATGCCAAATATGCACAAAGCCCTGGATTTCACCCCTAGGACTGGTACTCCCCCAAAAGTAATTTTGCTTTTTAAAGTCAAAGTTACATGTGTTATCAATCAGTAGGGTTTTTTTTATTAAAACAACCTAAAAAATATTAATTTTCCTTATGTCTCAAAAGTAAAACCAGTACTTTATGTAGAATCCATTCTTTTAAACCTAGGTAATTCCTGAGATGTTTTTATTTTTTTTTTTTTATTATTTTTTTTTTTTTTTAGTTCTCGGCGGACACAACATCTTTGTTGGTATGTGGTGCTGGGGATCGAACCCGGGCCGCACGCATGCCAGGCGAGCGCGCTACCGCTTGAGCCACATCCCCAGCCCCCTGAGATGTTTTTAAAAAGCAAGTTGTCTCAACTCATGAAAATGCAAATTCCATGTTAGAGTCAATCAGCATTCTCTCCAGCACGTCTCTCTCCCTGCTTTTAATAAAGTGATTGATTGTGTTTTTTCTTTTTTAGTATTACATTACTTCATTTTTTAAAAATATACTGGAACACTGAAGGAAAGATTTACCCTTGTTAAAGACTAACTGCTTTTGGGGGTGTCTAAATGGAGATAAACTTGGTTGCTTAAAGGTAAACCAATAATTAGTATATCCTATAGTTACACACTATTTTTGTTACAGAGAAATAAGATCAGTAAAAGCAAACACATGTCAAAACTCTAAAAACACAGCACTGGGAAATGGTTTTAAATCTCCCTTACACCTATACTGGGGATTGAACCCAGGGGCACTCAACCATTGAGCCTTATTCCTAGCTCTTTTTATTTTTTATTTTGAGACAGAATTCCACTAAGTTACTTAGGGCCTCTAAATTACTGAGGCTGGCTTTGAGCTCACTATCCTACCTCAACCTCCCAAATCACTGGGATTATAGACGTGCACCACTGCACCCAGCAAATGGTTTCGAACATGTCCAATTAAAAGCTGTTGAAGATTCTCTTGTCCTTCCTTTAAGCATTTCTTACCTTTTTCTATCCTTAATACTTTTGGTAAATATTTGTCATATTTTCCTTGTATCACATAAAAAAAAAACTGAACTAAACTCTGAAAGTCTTGCATTTCTAAAAGTTTAACTTCTACTCATTTAACAATAATAATTTAAAATTTTTTAGGAGAGTGATCTTTTGCAAGTCAGCTATTTAAATAACTGCAAAAGGATTACAAAAATTAAACTTTCTAAGACCTAAAAGTATTTCATTAAGGATTCAATTCTGATGTAAGATATTACTACATTTTTTATATATGCATGTTATCTGAAATGTCACATACAACTCCATTTTCATCACCTTACCACCTTTTTTCTTCTTTCTGTTGTTTTTGATAGCCAGGTTTCCCTTATCCATCCCCTCATCATCACTCCGGTCTGATCTCCTCTCCGATCAACTTTGAGCACATCTATCACATGACTGTTAATTCTGCTGAAAAATTTCTCTCTCCTGATTCCATAAACCCTGAATATTCCCCGTCTCTACGCTCTGTCCCTGGTACACCAAGCTTTATGACTCTAAGGGTATGAACAGCTGAGTCAGGTGTTAACTTGTACTAACCATGTATGGATTTCCTATTGCCTGGCCTAATAAATAGCATTGCCAATATGAAATGGTTTCCTTTGGCCTATTTCTCTTCTGCCAAATTTCTCTTACTTTTTTATTCCTTCTCTATTGATCTTACTCTTCTTTCTCCTCCTGTTCTGTTTTGTTTCTTCAGAGGACAAAGATGGAGGAACAGGGAGGATTTCATTTTATTTTTGAAATTATATTGGAGCTTTATCTATATTTATTAGAATATCCTATTGTAGGTATTTTCTATTATAGATACCACTATAAAAAAGTAGCCTTGGGGCTGGAGTTGTGGCTCAGTGGTAAAACGCTCACAAGCAAGGCGCTGGGTTCCATCCTCTGCGCCTCATAAAAATAAATAAATAAAATACAGGTATTTTTTTTTAAGTAGCTGAGTGAACCTTTATTCTTTTCAAACAAACAGAAAAAGGTGTCCTTAATTTTTGAAGGAGCTATAGCTCATTCTCCTGTAACCAGTTCAATTTGGAGAAATTTTTTATATTTGATGAATTAAAGTCTCAACAGAGCCTGTCTACACATTTCTATCTATAATAAAATTCATTTTGAAAGACTTAAAAATCTCCAAAGGAAAAGTGTAATATTATTAATAAGTAACAGGAAAAAAATCCAAAAATTAAATAAATTTTTATACAACTTTAAGTTGCTGATATGCATTTAATTCTAACCAGGATCCAAGGTAAGAAAAGCTAACCAAAGAGAGAGAATAGAAAAGAAAAGGATACTGTTCTCCACCCCTTAATTCAGCCCTATGTCTTTGTTACCAGTGACTTTGCAGTGAGATGGAAAGTGGCTGTTAATGTCTGTATTTTTATCAAGTAAAATATGCTTGTACTGACTTCAAGTGAAGTTAATTTTACAGATAATAAAATATTTGGATTGTATCATGCAAATTCATTTCCCACAATGTCCCTTTCTTAGAAAAATCATAGCATTGACTTTTTAATTTGTATATATAGTAATCTTCCAATAAGAAAATTAACTATAGGGTGAAAAGTATAATTTTTGTTTGTATTAATAAAATTATTCAAAGTTACGTATTAATGTCATTGACATTAAATTATAATGTCATTTAAGTGCCATTTGATAAAATTAGCCATAATAAAATAAGCCTTGATTTGCTTGTTAACAGGTTTCAGGAAGTGGATTCCAGTGGAATGCTATATAAATTATTCAAAAACTTCTTATACTAAGTTAGTTTTCTTTGCGTAGAACACTGTACCATCAGTTTTACCCTGATCTTAAACATGTTTGTAACTAAAAGACAAAGGTTTCTTGTCATTTCCTAGTGAAGTTTATTTAATTTTAATTGACTGAATGATAAGATGGGCTTTTTTTTTAACAAAACATTTTTTATGTGTATCATTCCTTTGTAATTTAAACATTTTGTGTTATTAAGTGGCTAATGGATTTCATAAACTTAATCTTCACCATTTTTCTAGGTTAGGCTTATTTTATAGCAAAGGACACCAGTGTGTCTTGATTCATAGAGAAGACAAATAACAAAATACACAGCTGGGTACTGATATTCCCGTCTCTTTTGAGCTTTACTTGGCTGCCTTTTGTACATGTTGTTTGCATCTTACAGGGCTGCTCTTTCCTGTATGTGTGAATGTTGAATTGCTAGCATTGACTGTTTCGGTTTTATGTATTTTATTTCTTGGATTTGAAAAAAGGTAAAGCATTTGCTTTAAATAGATAGCACACTAAGAATTACATGGACTTTGCAAATTAAGTATGTGAAACAAAATGACAGTGGTTGAATTTGGGGCCAACTAGCCAGCCATACAAGAACTATGTATATGTCTTCAAAATGTATGATTTAGAGTTTATCAAGTGGTATTAGTTCTTGTTTTTCTGACTGCCACCCTTGGCCCTAATTCAGTTGTTTTGCCATAACCTTCTCAGGTTTTTCAGGTGCTGATAGGAAAGCTCAGTACTACATACTCATTCAGAGCCATAGCCTCTCTTTAGAGTCCCACAACTACATGGTAACTGGAAATTCAGGTTCCAGTTTTAGACTTTTACTATAACCAAAAATGTTTTTTTTTTTTAGCCACATAACTACGTTTCTTCATTAATTCTTTATTAAACTCAAAAGGCTTAAGTACTTATGCTCATTTCATTACATTCTATGTTGAATTATTTCACCTATGCCATATTATAGCATAGAAGACAACCATCTTTTGCTAAGTGTTAGCATATAAATCAGATTATTTGAAGAACTGCCAAAAACTGTTATTCTGTCTGATTGTTACAAATAAAATGTACTTTATATCTTTAAAGCTCATACACATACCTGCACCCACATATGCTTATAATATCAAACCATTGTTAACTAGAGCACTATGTGTTCTGCAGAAAGAATCGTAATTTGAAATTTATGAATTATGTTACTATCCAAATTAATCATAGTACTTGTAGTAGAATATTGAGATTGCAGATATAATCCATTTGTTTATTCAGTAAATCTTTTCAGTGCCTGTTTTAAGTGCTGAAGTTAAATGTGGTCATGATTGTAGTCAGTATAAGAAATGACAAGATGGCTAGAGGAATGATGCTACAAACAGCCAAGATCTGCAGGCTTCCTAAACAACCAGGGCAAATTGGACAATCACCCCAATCAAGGTGAAGTCCCCAAATAAGGGCATTTTTTATCAGGGGATGCCTTCCAGCAGTGTTGTCTTTGTTTTCTGTTTAAAGGGCAGGTGTGAGAATGTTCAGTGAAATAGATTAAATGCAATTTAAGCAATTAGGCCTTTTGATGAAACTTTTAAAGTAACCAACCAGATAAGATAGGTTTCTGTTAGGTAACATACCATAAACAGTGTACAATTCTCTGATGTATTTTCTTCTTTAAGCTACCAAAAGAAGTGATATTTCCTGAGCCCTACATGATTAAAGAAGATTTATTGGATTTGAAATTATAAAATGAGGCAGACAATGATAACATTTTAAAATATAATAGTTAGTTTTGTGTTCTGCATTTGGAGGGGAAAAAAAACACAATAAAAAAACAGTCAGCTTTTCCAAAATAAAATAAAAAAAAAAACAGTCAGCTTTTCCAAAAAATTTCATTGGCCAGAAACACTAAATTGTTAAATAGTATCTGGTGAGTTCACAGGAGACTTTTTTGGTCTCTTAGGATTTCATTATTAGCAATACCTTTCCAGTCCATGAATGTTACCTTTATAATCAGGAAAAAGTAAATGCTTTTAATAAACTAATTAGTTAGTATTTAGAGARCTACCAGTTAATAAATGTATTTTCCAGTCACTTTTTGTTAATGTTTGTGACTGTGATTATTGTGTTAAGTTCTAAGTGTAGAATTGATAAAGGAGCACCAGAAGTAAAGTGAACCTGTAACAGCACATGAAGAGAGCCATCTCCTTTCAGAAGAAAGTAGTGCATCTGATTCCGTTAGATTAATTAGCTTCACTTAACAAATTGATCCTTTGGTAAAGTTACAGAATTTTAATTTTTTACTACTTTTTAATGTTGAATTTTTATTGCATTTTAGAGTTGTAATCTTACCTAATGTGTATAAAATTTGTGATTGCCCCCTTCCAGCAGAATCACTATTTTGATATAACTAAAAGGTAGCTTAATAGTGATACTGCAGATGGCCATTTAAAGATACTAGTAAAGCAGAGGGAGGAACAGCACATATTGGAACTGGGCCTTGGAGGGGCTTTCCTTTGACTAGTAAAATTACTGTAATTCTCAGAAAATCCCATGAACCCCAGTATGGTCAAGGAAACTGAGGCTCAGGGTTGAGTCACCCTGAAGTCTGCCATCAGTAGGCTGTAGAGCGCAGATGTGAGCAGTCTGTTTCATCACTGACCTGTGCTGATTAACTCCCAAGCTGCCTCTGTCTTAACTTGTTGCGATCAGCCAGTGAAGAAAAAGGGAAATCCACTGAAAGAAGACTAGATGATTTTCTTTATATATATATACACACATACATATTTTTGTTTGCCAATTATAAGAAATCTAGGGGCTGGAGTTGTGGCTCAGCAGTAGAGCGCTCACCTGGCACGGGTGAGGCCCTGGGTTTGATCCTCAGCACCACATAAAAATAAAATAATGGTATTGTGTCCAACTACAACTAAAACAAAAATATTTTTTTTAAAAAAGAAAAGAAATCTAGACTCTTTGCATCAAAAATGCTTGCAGGAGTTGAAACTATGTCCACAAATAGAGAAGGCATTATGAATGGTAAAAGAGCTATGGTGTAACATGGTAGATATAGTTTACCTATTCTAGGATTTGTGAAGAATATTGAAATATTTTCCCCTCTTCTGGCCTTTGGTCAGCCCCAGCATTCTTTCCTTCTAGTTTGAAAGGGCTGGGGCCAACAGGGAGTTATTCACACTGACATTCCATAGCTACAGAGTCTCACCAGGTTGTTATATTATCATCCATCCATCTTTCTTTCTTTCTTTCATCATCTTTCTGACTCAGAGAATAGAGGTGACTTGGAATGTGAACATGTGAATGGCACATTCAGTCTCAGGTTACCAGAGCATTTTGAGGCTGGGGTTGTAGGTCAGTAGTAGAGCGCTTGCCTAGCATGTGTGAGGCACTGGGTTCGATCCTCAGCACCACATAAATATAAATAAATAAAATAAAGGTTAAAAAATATAGAGCATTTTCTTGACAAAATTGTAATTTTAATTGACTTTCCTCCAAATGGATTTATTTATTTGGTGTTCCTAAGCAAATAAAAATCTCTTTATCTGCAAATGTCCATGTAATTCTATACTTCACTGTCATGTTTAACCATATAACATTTACTTACCATTTTCACAACCCAAAAAATTATTTATTAATAAGTATTTCAGTATGCATAAGTACTTTTACCTGATTGGGATGAAATTTATTTCATATTATATTTAATTACTTTTGTGGGTGGGAGGGATTATGGAATCTGCTGTATCTTACTCTATATCATTCTGGTCAAGATATTTTTATTTCTTGATAACTATATTGAAAAGTATACATTTTTGCAGAAAATGTTTCTTTCTGGCTGAAGAATATACCTTTGTTTTATTTTCAGAACCCTCGTCCTCAGGAAAGCCGAACAGTATTCAGTGGCTCAGTCAGTATTCCATCAATCACCAAATCCCGCCCTGAGCCAGGTCGGTCCATGAGTGCTAGCAGCGGCCTGTCAGCAAGTAAGTGGATCAGGCTATGGGCAAATGCTCTATGGCCAGGTATCTTTTGGGCTGCCTCCTGTCCTATAATTACCACAAGTGACATGCTCTCACTTTCTCATGCCCAGTGTGTTCTACAGTTGTAACAATGTCTCAGATCCTGAGACATTACTTAATGCTTAGTAGGCACAAATGCAGTTGTTAAAAAAATAGTCCTGGAGTCCTTCTAGAATGTGCAGGCCATCTGGGAGACAGACAAATAGGACTACAAATTACGGTGGTAACTCTGCAGAAAATAAAAGGCACAGTAATAGAGAGTAACAAGGTATAGCTATCAGGGAGGAATTCATACTTACGATAATTAGGAAAAATCACATCACTTGCTAAAGCTGGGTCATGTTTAAGTAATGTTAATTACTGAAAAAAAAAAAGCCAATGCAGCTATATGGTAGTATGGGGAGTGACAAAAATAGAGGAGGAGAGAAATGGACAAATGCCAGATTGGCAGCCTTGGAGACTGTGGTAAGAAATGTTTTATCTTAACTTACAAAATGAAATGAGAAGCCTTTGGAGAATTATAAGTATGGAAGAAACTTCATGTAGTTTACATTTCTAACAGTGACTCTGATTACCAAGAAGAGAAGGGATTCAAAGCAGGCAAGAGTGGAAACCAGCAACCAGATAGCAGGTTCTTAGAGTGGTCCACATGGAATCTGAGTAATTTTAGAGTACTGCTGTTTTAGAGAACAGAGAATGAAGAGAAGGAAATGAATTTTCCAGACACATTTTCAGAGGTAGAAGCAATAAGACTTGATGATGATTAAGTTGTGAGAAAGTAAAGGAGAAATAATAGTAAAGATGGCCCCCAGATTCCTGCGGTAGCCATAGGATGATACCAGTGACTCCCACTAGCAAGGTTTGAAGGGGGTTGGGTCAGGATGTACAAAGATCACTGCATAGGGAAAAGATTAGTATGTTTTATTAACTAAATGTAGTCTAGAAATAGATTAAAGAATATACCCTTTTGTCATGAAAGCAAGAAAACATTTATCATCTAATAAACATCTTTAAGATACCAATTCTTGTTAACCTGGTAGGGTAAGAATCATGTACAACCTAGTACTTTCTTTCAAGTGGCTCACAGATTTTCTTCTCAGTCTTTGTGTATGGGGGTGGTACTGGGGATTGAATCCTGGGATGCTCTACTACTGAGTTGCATCCCCAGCCCTTTTTGGTTTTTATTTTGAGAAAAGATCTCACTAGGTTGCAGAGACCAGCCTTGAAATTGCGATTCTTTTGCCTTAGTCTCCTGTGTTGCTGAGATTATGGGCATAAGCCACCAGATTAAGCTAGTTTGTCTTTTTTGCACTCTACCTTGACCTGCAGCATCTCTCTTCTATACCTTTATACAGAATCCTGAGCTAAGGGATCATAAAGAGAAAGAAATCTGTCTCCATGGTGGACTTAAGTTCACCTATTATTCAAAAACAACTTTTTGATGGATGAGGAAAGGAAATTGTATCTAAGAAAAAATGTCATCTGTCTGAGCAAAAGCATACAAGGATGCTAATAACTACTGCTCACATTAGAACAGGAGGAGTGTACAGATCTTACTAGGTTCATTGTGCTCTTTAGTAGTTTCTGGACCTAAGCAGTAAGGTTATGGACTGTGAAATGATCACTGTAGCTTCTGGTTTGGGGAAGATCAATCTTGGCCCTTGGGTTGCTAGCCTTTAACTTTGTTTTTTCTTTTTTTAAGTTGTACACAATTCCTTTTTTTTTGTTTGTTTGTTTATTTTTATGTGTTGCTGAGGATCGAACCCAGGGCCTCGCACGTGCTAGGCGAGTGCTCTACTGTGAGCCACACCCCAGCCCAGAGAGCCTGTAACTTTCTCAGATGTGCACTCACCCAATAGCATTGCATTGGCTTAGAGGGCAGCCTGAGAAATCTCCCTTGTGTTACATTCCTGACAAGATCTGGGACACTACTCACAAACACACTAAGGGTTATATAGCAAAAATCATAATTATTCACACTATAACTATATAATAAATGTAGTCTTTATAATAAAGCCTACAGTTAGCCACCAGTCAGTTCAGGTGAAGTTTTGCCATCACATGGGTTTGCATCAGACTTAAGGGTTATATAGCAAAAATCATAATTATTCACACTATAACTATATAATAAATGTAGTCTTTATAATAAAGCCTACAGTTAGCCACCAGTCAGTTCAGGTGAAGTTTTGCCATCACATGGGTTTGCATCAGACTTAACAAAAAAGTTTTTGATGTTTCACTGCTTTTGAATTTGTGGAATTGCCTGTAAAGATAGGATTTATAACACAGAGATATCCTTAGAAGGATTTAGTGAGGGTCTCACATCACTGTTGACAATATGCAAACTGCAGACTGGAGTTGGCCTTACATCCGGTCATTTTCTAATGCTTTAATCAAGCTCAGCCTTTTTGTAATCCCTGTCCTAAATTATTTTTGGACATGGGAAGAAAGGTTATCTTGGGAATCTCAAAGGGGCATCTGCTATTTAGAGTACCTCCTACTGGTTTCAGGAATAGCCCAGCTTGTATAAAACATTTCCAGGACAGCCAGCCCAGAGAGAGACAAGAAGATACAGGGGACTTCTGTTATTAATCTTAACAGGAAGCACAGGGTCTTCCACAGCCAAGCCCAGCAAGGCTTCCTGAGGTGCAGCCAGACTTCCAACAGTGGTTTCTACTGTGACTTATCCCAGAATCCCCAAGGATTAAGACGCATCCATCTGTGGCAGGCTCACAGAGGAGCCTCTTGGAGTTTCCCAGAGGTCATGCAGAACTTGGATGTCTCTCATTCCCAGGAAATTCAGGGCCAAGCCCCTGTCCCACCCCCAGAATTGTCATCAAACTCTAGCATAGAGGCCAGGACCATGATTTCCAGGCCCAGGCCCCTTTTGCTATTAAAACAACCTGGTTTGTTTGTTTGTTTGCTTGCTTGCTTGCTTTTTAAGATTAACAGTAAGTAAATGTAACCTTCCTTTGAAAAATTCACAAAGCTTAAAAGTAAAATAAATACATATAAATGACAGAGGTGGGCTGAAGTTCTCTCTTATGTAAGTAAGTGGTCACCAGGAAATAGAAGGCACCTGGCATGCATGGTGTTCTCCATGGAATAAGCACCCACTTGTTCCCACAGATAGGATTTATTTTCTTTCTTACAAATGAAGAAAATTGAGACTCAGAAAAGGTAAAACAAGGGGCTAGGGTTGTGGCTCAGTGGTAGAGTGCTCACCTAGCACATGTGAGGCACTGGGTTCAAACCTAAGCAAGCACCACATAAAAATGAAATAAAGATATTATGTCCACCTACAACTAAAAAATTAATATATAAAAAAAGGTAAAACAACTCACTTGAGGTCATACAATTAGTGAAGAGAGCCATAAAATTCTCTAGCAGTTTGGATTTTCTATTTAGAATGACAGAAACAAGATTTTTATATATTATAATTTTTGTTAAATTGAGCACTCAGCTAGGTATGGAATTGGAAGAAAAAAATTTTTAAATGCCTTCATTTAGGTTATACTCTGAGGAAATAAAAGATAAAACAAAAAAACATCAAAAACTGAAGAGTACATTTCCAAAGAAGCAAACCACCAAATGAAAACCTGTGCCCTTGTAGTGACAGGGTGTCTAGGAGCTGGGTGAAAAGGAAAGCGTGTGAGGGAGTGAGAATGAGTCAGTGGTTCCCAGTCTGAGATGTGGTCTTGGATCATCAGGGAAGCTTTTAAAAGTTTAATTAGAAGTTCTACTCAGTTTAATTGATCTGGGACAGACCCAGACATGAATATTTTTAAAGTGCCATAATATAACCTACAGTTTACAATCAGTGTTGGTGGCCCCTGCAAGAAGTCAGTTACATCAAGAAATGCGAGCCTGTCTCTGAAGTCCCCACCAAAAGGCTTAGGAGGGAAGCAGGAAAGGAGGAGGCCTGAGGGGAGTTGGCAAGGAGAGTGCACCAGGCAGGCTCTGTTCCATGGACTCTTCTGAAGTTTGGTGGTCATTAAATAACTGTTTTAAATGGTCACTCATTGGCAGTTTTAATGAATTTTTAATCTGAAAAGAGATGTTAAATCAGCAAAAAGCTCAGTCACAATCTATATCTTACATTTGCACTAAAACTTCAACAGTCTTTTTTTGACCAATGGTTCTAATAGTGAAGCTCAGCAAGATAAAACATTTTTAAGCAAAAACTACAGAATACAGAGAATGTTAAGAGCTTTAGATATAACAATAATCCCCAAATTTCTAAAGATTGTTTTCTTGTCTTTCCTTCCTGTGAATGCAGTTTGTCTTCATTACATACCCCAACTCCAAGATCAAAATAGAGTATAATTTTGAAGAAACTCAACCTCATTTTGATATCTCAGACATCCTGCCCTACTTTTATGTTTCTATTCTTTTTTTTAAAAATGAAAGTTCTTGATGGGCGTGTTAGTGTATGCCTATATTCCCAGCAGCTTGGGAGGCTGAGGCATGAGGAGCACAAGTTCAAAGCCAGCCTTATCAACTGAGGAAGGCCCTAAGCCTAAGCAACTAAGTGAGACCCTGTCTCAAAATAAAACATAAAAAGGCCTGGAAATGTGGCTCAGTGGTTAAGTATCCCTGGGTTCAATCCCTAGTACCAAAAAAATAGTTTTCTACAAGTGCTATCCTGTGTTAGATGACAGTCTTTGTCTAGGAATAGTTCTCCTTGGTTTTCTTGTTTCATGTCTGTTCTGAGCCTGCTGTGTGCCACATCCTAGAAAGACCCAGGAGAGGCAAAGATGTCTCATCTGTTAAGAGAACAGGGAGCACAGGATTAATACTATTGATTGCATATAATCTATGGAAGAGAATTATGCAAGATGTCAAGGGTCCAGAGGTTGGGAAAGATGAGGCAGCATCAAGTGGTTAGGGACCCGTAGGCTTCCATGGGAATTGTTATTGAGCTCATGGCATAACCTGGAGAATGCTACCTGTTCACCAGAAGTCCTCACTAGAGTGTGACAGGAACAACCATGCTAGATTGCTGTCCTTTGGGGTTGAGCTCCAGGCCAAGGTAACACTGTTGGACTTACTGGCCATCAAGGGAGGATGACTCAGGGGCTCTGGAAGGATGGCTTCTATAGTACCCTTTCAATTGTCCTTTTCTACATACGTAACGTTTTTCTGGAATGGTGTCCTACAGGGTCATCTGCACAGAATGGCAGCGCATTGAAGAGGGAATTCTCTGGAGGAAGCTACAATTCAAAGCGGCAGCCCATGCCTTCCCCGTCAGAGGGCTCTTTGTCTTCTGGAGGTATGGACCAAGGAAGCGATGCCCCAGCAAGGGATTATGACGGAGAGGTGAGTGGAGCATGAGTGTATGCTACACCTAGAGATGGGAGTTGGGGCCATTGTGTATCAAAGAACGAGTGCATGTACCCAATTAATCCTACCACTTTGAGCCTGGCCTTCGCTGCAGTAGGGGCCAGCATTCACTCCTCGCCACGGCCAGCAGAGCCCATCGCTTAAGCTGCAAACTGCAGTTTTCCTAGATCTATTCACTTCTAATGACTTTTGAATGAAAATGCCTATATTTCTTTTTCAATATTCGTGACAGTAGAGTGTATAACATTCTAATTAGGATCCCATTCTTGAAGTTCTTTGATGAGTTTCACTGGTGTTACTCATATATGAACATACGAAAGTTATGTCCTGTTCATTCCCACTGTCTTTTCTATTCCCCTCACCCTTGTTGTGTCTTAGCATTCACATATCAGACAGGACATTTRACCTTTGGTTTTTTGGGATTGGCTTATTTCAATTTAGCATGATAGTCTCCAGATCTATCCATTTACCTTTCTTTACTTTGATCCTTATAGGACTCTGATTCTCCAAGGCATTCCACAGCTTCCAACAGTTCCAACCTGAGCAGCCCCCCAAGCCCAGTTTCACCCCGAAAGACCAAGAGCCTCTCTCTGGAGAGCACCGACCGTGGGAGCTGGGACCCGTGAGCCCAGGGTGGCCCTCACCCCAGCACCCCCTACTGCCTCTTCCCTCACTTGCATCTCCTCCCTCCACCTCAGCCTGGAATCCACCAGGAGCTGGCAGCAGTAGCAGGGTAGGGACTCAGCAGTTCTGAAGACACACCTGGCAGATCATGCTCCCTTACCTAACAGCCACAACAGGCAGGCTTCAGCAAGCAGCTGAGGTCAATGTCGATTCATTCCGTACACTTAGAGTTGCTTTCAGTAACATTTCACCCCTTCCCAAAAGGTAGCTGCAGTAGACTACACAAATATAAGTGATAAGAGTAAGATTAGACAGATCTCATTTTCACAATAGCTCCTCAAAGTAGCCTCAGATAGTACATGGGATTCTGCACGCCGGAGGGACAGTGTCCTTGGAAAGGTTGCTGAGCAAGCCAGTGTCAGTCCAGTTGTTGCCAGGAAATCCTCACAGATTAAAACAATGCATATTTTACTACAATACAGAGTTTAAATAAATACATAAATGTAGAAGTTAAATACTGAATGTACATAGTCAAAAGAAGCATCTTGTATTCAATGAAAGATGGATGCATATATGAGAGAAAGAGATCATTTAATTTAAAGCAATGTGTTGTTTTTTGTCTGTTTCCCAGCTAAGTCAAGTACAGGGTAGAAAGGCCTCAAGCTGACATTTGTGGAGGGAGAGTGGGAGAAATCCCCATCCTTGTGGTGCCCTGTCCTCAGGAGACTCTGGCTTTGTTGGTTTATAGTAGAACCTGGACACCAGTGTTTTAACATTTAAAGCCACTCAGTTTCAAAAAAAAAAAAAAAACACTCACCTCTACCCAAAACACTTCTTTTTCTAGCAATAGTGTGAACCACACTTCTCACTTCTTACTACTATATTTTGCTATCTGCTGCAGATGAATGTAGTAATATGATTCTGTTACCATGTGATTCCTTCCATCTGGACGGGCACAGGAATTTCATGGGTTTTGAAAGTCCATAAAAAGTTCATAGAAGTGCTGTGTTTCTGGGCAAATCCAGTTCCCCCTATAAGGGTATGGTGAGGTGGTCTGGCCCAGGTATGGAAATGGCTTTCGAAGGAGGAGACTTGTTGAGGGTGGGTAACAGAGTCCTGGGAAAAAAGACTTACAGATAATATGAAACCTCAAAAGCAAGGACTTGCTCAACCTCAACCAAATACTCTTTCTCCTGTGTAGGCAAGAATGAGTGAGGAAGCCAGTATACAGGCAGGAAGCTGGCCCCGCAGGCCTTTCCACTGAATTCTCCCTCAGTTGCTATGTTATTTTGTTACATTTCTTTTTGAATTCCTGCTGTTGTACTTGCCACTAGGAAATGAAATGAAGAACCAGAAGAATTTAGTTCTACACAGTAATTTCACCACTTAAGTATATGAGTAGAGAAAGAGATAAAAATAAAAATAGCTCATGGAAGCAAAGAAAATCTGCCTCACTTTTACTTTTCACACAGGTTTCTGGGAGAAATAGAAACAATTTTCTCCTCCCTATAAAATTCAGCTAAAATGAAGAAAATTCTACAGTTGCCACTTGGGGGTGCCGTGGCCATCTCAGCACAGGTACCTGGCACTTTTCATCAGCAGAACCTGGGCCAACCTGCCACAGCCTGCTGCCCAGGCCGTGCTGTTTCTACGTGCACACTACTTTATGGAGAAAGGGCTACTGATATTAAATGAAAGAAGGGATCCTTTGGGGGAATTAGATTGAAGTGCTTAAAACAATTGCTTTGATACTGAAACGTTCTAAATTTGCTGCTGGCTCAGGTCTGATTATATTTTATTTTGAATGGGCATAAATCACTGCTTTAGTTCTAATCTTCCAAATATTTTTGCTTTTGGAAAAAGAAGTATCTCAAGAATGCTTCTGTTCATCTAATTATCAAGGGTCAGACCCCAAATGTGGTCATTGCCATTATGTACTACTCTGGTAGCTGCTTAAACTTGACACTTTGCATGAAAAGGAATCAACTAGCCAGCCAATTATGACCACCAGCCCCCCACCTCTTCTCATCCTCACTAAACAATTAGTTTGTAGCTTTGACAACTAATTATGAGTTTTTGTTGCCTATATGTGCTTATTTTTCAAAGGATGCTTTTAGAATCAAAACCTACCTGAACTTTAGGTTCCACTACCATCAGTCCTACTACTCCTTAGCCTCCCAGCAGGGCAAATGAGTAAGTGAGTGCCCTCAAAGACAAGCTCATCTCAGCTGCCAGACTGATGGGTAGCTGATTCATGGTAACCAGTGGCTTGCACCACAGCGCTGTGAATTTCCCACTGTAATCATAAATTGTCTCGAACCATGAGAGAGGAGTCCCAAATATGCTTAGACTCAAAAGTCAGGACTTTGAGTGGAGTGGTTCTTTGCCAGGGGAGTAGTAGTTTTGGAGGAGATTTTCCCAAGATAATGATCATCCTGGTATGCTTATCCCACCCTTAAATATGAAGCTTCTGAGAAGAATGATCTGAAAAGACCAGAAACAGGCTCCAGGAAATGAAAAACAAAGATCATTCAGAGGTATCCATTAACAAAGATCACAGGAAAGGTATTTTGTTGCTATCTGAAATCGTCCTTTTTTTCATGCAGGACAATCTTAGAAATGTGTATGGCAACAAATTAATTTCTCCATAAAAAACAATGCATTCAGAGGCATTTCTGCATAGTGTCTACATGTTGGTGTTTGGTGCTACCCATGTCCAGCCAGTGTGTTACTTATCCTTAAGTTCTGGAAAATCTTGTCCTGTGCTTTTTGGGTGTGCAAAATTTTACATATACATATATATTTCTTTTGCCAAAAACAAAAGCCTTGCTCGTGAAATGATTGCTAAACCAGATTTCACTTCTTTCATAATTAAAATACACACACACACACGTATACCTATTACACCTACACTTATCGACTTACATTCTTTCCCAGGGAGCACAACTTTAAGGCTGTGAGATACAACTAAAAAGGGCCCATCTATTTGATTTTCCAGCCAATTCTTGTATCCAGGCTTCAGGGGAGAATATGAAATTCCTGTTATGTTTACAGCAACAATCTCGTTCCCCACTGACTCTCAGCCTCCCTCTCCTTCCATATGATTAGCATCATKTTATGTTATTTAGTGGCCACATCTATTTCTAAGAAAGAGCAATTGGTTCGTTTGGAATCTCAGGTATCATTAAGGAAATGCCAGAGTGGGGGTGGACAGATGACCGAACACCCAGGACCATTCGCCAGCCTTGGCAGTGACCACATACTAGTCTCCCAATTCAGTGGGCCTGGCAGAGGCCACCACCCACTCCAGACAGAGAGACACTCGGAGCAGCCTGACGCTCCTGCTGTAAGTCACGCTTTGCTATAGCCCAAGTCCATTGGGCACAACAGGGAATTAATTGAGCACTTCCTTCCTCACCTTTCCCAAGCCCAGCCCCTGAATTAGATAAGCTTCATGGCATTTCATTGAAAGCCTCTTTCCTTGTTATGACCTTCATTGTTCCTCAAATCCAGAGTTCTTTGTTGAGTCCTGCTGGATAAGGAGGGCCCTGCTTCAGGGGAGCACTGTCTTCCGCCAGCACCAGCAGCAGGCCAACTGCTTCTCTACCACCCCAAGGACGACCATTACACAAGAGGCCACCACTGCATTTGCAGAGCGGACTGACCACCACGAATCAACCTTGATGTCTCATGAAAGCAAAATGACCTGCCTTTTTATTTGATAGGATAATATCATTTATTTTATAAAGTTTTAGGGTTTTTTTCCTCATTGTAATATTATTGTACAGTTTTGCATGGCCTAGGTGTAATCATTTTTGTTTAGAATATAATGCTGACTGATATGTGTGTATGGAAGGGGAAAAGATATTGCTTTCACCTCTTATCACTTCTTTTGTTTGTTTTTATGCCCCCAATGTCTTAGGGAACTTTATAAGAGATTATCTGCTACCAAACAATGATGTGGGTTCTTTTGCACAGAAATATTTAAGGTGGGATAGTCAAAAATGTTAACAAAAGACTTCTCACGAATATTTTATGTTGGTATCACTTAATATTAACCAGACTTTGATGTACTGCAATAAAACAGGGAACGGTACAATTGAAGTATTTCTTTTTTTTTTTTTTTTTTTTTTTTTTACCCATTTTAAAGTCTGAGGAACAGAAAAAAGCTGCCTGATTCTTGATGTCTCACTTGCCCCTGCTTTCTATTAGTCACTTGTCCATACTTCTTCCTTACACTCCAAGGACATGGGGTTACTTTGTCCCCATGGTTTAAACTGGAACTTTCTAAGTTGTCCTTTTATATCTGATAAGAATAATGTTCATTTCCCTTGAAACTTTCACCTCCCCTCTTCTAGTCAAAACTTCCTGGATATTGTTGCTTCCATCTACATCTGCAAAGCTAAGCTCCCTGCAGGTGGCTTGAGTGGTGGCTTTGATGGTATAAATGTGCCAGAAGCTCCATTTCATGTCTGCTTGCTGCAGAGAATCAGCAACCACAGAGGACAAGAGTGGGTGCTCATGCTTTGGGTAAGTTAGAACAGTTGAAGGACACACAGGAAAGGCTGGGGCTAGTCCTAAAAGAAAGCTGAAACTGGCCGCAACTAAACCATTACTCTTGAGAACCCTCCCTGTTTCGGTTTCCCGTGTAATTGACATGTTATTGATAAGTTGGCTTCTTACAATGTATGCTGTGCTTTAGGGGCAGCAGAACAGGGGTTAGGAGACTTTCTGTAAAGGGACAGTCAATACTTTTGGCTTTGTGGGCTACGTATAGTCTTTGTTGCAGCAACTCTGCTAGTGTAGTACGGAAATGACGCTATGATGAACAAAGTGTCTGAGTTCCAATAATCTTCAGTGATGCAGTGGGCCATATTTGGCCCATGAATTGTAGTTTGCCAGACCTTGGTTTAGAGTGGGCTTAACATGGGATGTAAGACCAGACTGTCTTATTCCAAATCCTGGTTCCACCACTTGGTGCCTGATGTTCAGCAAGTCACTGAAACCAAATCTTAGTTTTTTCCTCTAAAATGTGTCAGGAGTTAGTACATGGACATACTTAGAATGTTTGCCTATGGCTTAGTATTCTGGTGTTAACCACCACCAACAACAGTTAACATACTTTTTGCGTTGTTACAGTGGGCAGCCCTTCACTGGATGTTAGGGATACAAAGARTCTTTCAGTGTGAATGCAGGAACAGGGAGAATCATTTGGTGTCRATACTGAAAAAAATCACAATAGGTATAAAAGAAAAAACAAGTGTGTGCCCAGGTGCAGAGCAGACATTGCTCAGGGATCAGGATTATTATCTACAGTTTAGTGATTTTCACTGTCATCTTAACTTGGGATGCAAAAAACTACTTCATTTCCCTTTCAAAACCCTTTCTCCTGGGCTGGGGATGTGGCTCAAGCGGTAGCGCGCTCGCCTGGCTTGCGTGTGGCCCGGGTTTGATCCTCAGCACCACAAACAAACATGTTGTGTCTGCCAAAAATTAAAATTAAAAAATTCTCTCACTCTTTAAAAAAAAAAAAGAAAAAAAAAACCCTTTTTTCCTGGCAGTTCTGCTTAGTTGTTCTTGGAGAAACAAATACTTATTATTTTCCCCCTTCTTCCTCTGCACACTCTTGCATTATTTGTTCAGGTTATCGCAGTGAGGAGACTGTACCAAACTGGGACCAGCTGGGGACCTTCTTCTATGAACCCTGCATGGTGGTTGCCCCAGGTCTGTGGAGGTGCTGAAGAAAAACTTGTACCTTTTAAGAGGATGAGCACTCATGTGGGACTGGCTGGTGCCACTGGGTGCTGATGATATTGGAAGGCCTTCTAGGGACCAGCCCGACCTCTTTATCCTGTCCTGGAGCCCAGCATGTCCAGTACTTGTCAATCCCAAATTTCCCCCAGGAGAAGCCACTTTTCAGGAGTGTCCCTCAACTGTACCCATCTCTAAAGCAGGTTTTGCTGTGATTTGACCTGGCACCAGCCCTGTAGGTAGGTATGTATCTTTCCACAGCTGCCAGCATGGCAGTGCACAGTGGCTTCAGGGATGGTTGTGGGGGCCGGGCACCACCTCCCCTTAGCCCTGAATGTGGTGAGCCCTCCTGGTGCAGGTGCCCAGGGCCTTAGCTGGGAAGAGGTGTGCAGGCCCAGAGGCACACTGATCTGAGCACCCTGGAAAGGGAAAGGATCACCATGGTGATGAAAGATGGGGGACCCCCATCATTCCCCCCAGTTCTTAAAGCACAGAGAAAATGGTCCAGTCCTCAAAGACTTTTCACAAGCACTTCTTTTTAATTGAACTGAAATTTGATAAGATTTGTACAAAAAAAAACAGCCTATGCTGACCCTTTTGGTGCGTGGGTGGCAGCAGTGCATCTCCTCTCAGGCCCTAGTGGGTACAACAGGCCTCTCTCCCTCTGCTGCTCCTGGCTCTCCCCTTGTGGCAGCAGTTCTCTGGAAACATTCAGATGTCCCAACCAGAGCAGGCCCAGGTGACATGGCTACAGTCACCGGCACTGTTCGGAGTGGCATTTCTCCCAGTTCCAGACCACAGGCTGGAGTCAAAAACAGCAGAAACACAAATCTCATCTAGAAACACACACACACAAAATCCAAAAGTGCTTCTCTGCTTCCATTTTTCATTTTGTTTCAAGTGGCAGGGATTTGAAGGAAGTAAGAACCCCCTCTTTTCTGGTTAACATTCATTTTAGAAAAAGGGGAAAAAATAAAACTGCCTTTTTTCCTAGTTATTTCAGGGGCTGAATATATGACAGGCAGGTTCTGATGGAATAGTGGGGTCTCATTTTCCTTCCTGGACTTCTCCTCCACTCCTCCAGTAGTGGAAACCACTAGAGCACTGTGGGCTCTCCACCCTCCTCTCCCACTCAGAACCCACCCCACTCCCTCCCTCCAGGCAGAGGAGCGAGCAGAGCACCCGCACAGCCACATCTGCTGGCCACCTGCTGATGACAGAGCAGCTGGCTACTGCTGCTCGGCCTGCCTCCTGCAGTAGTTGCTGTAGGCCTCTTCAAACATGGCTTTGCAAGAGAAGTGGGCCTTCAGCTTGGAGCAGATGAGGAAGGAGCCACCCATCTTCCTGTGCAGGGAGTAGGTCTCCTCAGGTGGGGGAACGAGGCGGTGCTTCAGCATGATGGGGATCAGACTGTGGATCTTCTCAGTGGTGCTCTGGGTGCCAAAATCAAAGGGCTCATCAGAGGCAAAGGCCTCTCCTAGGATGAGGATGGCATCCAAATGGGCATCTTCCATGGCCTGGGGGAAGACAAGAAAGGCAAACAGGAATAAACCTCAAGATCCCTCAGACCTGGGGGTCCTACCACAGTGCCCTAGCACGGAGTTCTTATCAAAGCTGTTAGCATTCAAGACTGAGGGTTCTGGTTGTTTTTAACTAGATTAACAGGCATAAACTCAAACCCACAGAGACTGGGAAACCATTAATGTCAACTGGGATTGAGGTGAGACCAAAGGGAGTAGTGGGGTCTGTGGCAGAAAAAGGAGTATAAGCCTTGACTAAAGGCATTTGAGTTCAAAGATTTTAGACAATCGTTCTAACCAGAAAGAAGAGTCCACAGGCCTGAATAAGCCTGCCAGCAACAGCCCAGCACACAGCCATAGGTCACCTGCTAGTGCAGGCCTCTGCTCTCCCCCACACTGGGCACATGTGACGCTAACTAGTTGCCAGCAGGGCATGGGAGAGGGACAGCCCACAGACCACCCAAGGTGGGCAGGGTAAGCACCACAAATAAGAAAATGGGAGCTGCTGTCCACTGAGGGCTTTTGAGGTAAATAGCTCCACTTTTCAGAAAAAATAAATAAGGGTCACCCACACTAACTTGCTGAAGTCACAGTCTTACTAGGCATGAATCCAAGACCAGACTTGGATCTCTATCCCCTTTCCCAGCACTGAGGAAAGTGCTGCTCCCAGGGTGGCTTCTGGGTAAAGGAACGTATTTAAAGGGCCGGGGCCTCATCCCAGCTTCCCTCATAGAAACCTGCGTTCCCACCCGAGTCACTGCCCTCAGTCTCTGAGTGCCTGCCCTGAGAAGTTCATGCAGAGCACAAGTCCTGAGTTTAAGACTGTGTCCAACAAGGCTCAGAGCTTGTGAAGACCCTGGAGGGCAGCTGTCCCCTATGTTTTCATCCCTTTATATACTAAGGTTCTGCTTCAAAGGAAAAAAATAGTCCATGTCCCCACCTAGATCCACCCCACAGGAAGCTGTGCCCACATGAGCAGGTTCCATGGAGACCCCAGTAACACCACTCACCTTGACTTCATAGCCCGTGAGAAACTTCATCTCTATGGACTTCTGCTTCACAGCCTCCCTGTCCCTGTCAGCAGCAGCCCTAATGATCTGTGAAGAAGCACAGAAAGGATGCTCCTGAGCTCCCAGGGAGCCAAATGCCCAAAACTGGACACCCCATGTTCATCCTGCTACTCTCCTTCCACAAAAGCCCTGGCCTTGAGGCCACCGCCTGTGCTGCTGGCCTCAAGAGCCACACTGGGATCCCCATCATCCGAAATGGGAAGCAGAAGCCCAATCATTCCTTCTCCCTCCAAGGCCCCAACCTCTCGTCCTAGCCTCAGAAAAACATGGGGCAAGGCCAGGCCCCTCTCCCAACTTTACCTGAATATAGAGGTCAGTGAAGGATCTGTCATATTCCCGTGTTGCCCCGAAGTCCAGAAGAGCCACCTGCGGATAGAGACACAGGAAGGTTTGCCTGGCTGGAGATGGGAGGAGGATCATCTCTTGAGACCCCAGAGCCTCCTGCCCACTGATGATGTTCCCCAAGCAAGGGAAAGGCTGGGGCTCACCTTGTGCTGCTCAGGGTCATAAAAGAAGTTGGACCAGTTGGGGTCTGTCTGCATGAAGTGGAACTCGAACAGCTCCCTCAGACACAGGACCAGTATGTTGTAGCAGATCTGGAGACAGGGTGTGCGGCTTGCATCAAGTGGTACCAGACTGCCTGGTGACCTGTGAGTCCAGCCTGAGAAGTTCCTAACTCCCACCTTCTACCCCAAGATAATGGAACCACCCAGCAGGAAAGGTAGCTGCCCTCCTGTCACCCATCCACAGGGAGCACCTTGGGGGCTCTGGGGCCTCCATTCACACGTCAATAGCCAGCAGAGCAGGGATGGCTCAGTCCCCACCCTGTCTGCTAACTCAGGCTAAGACATACCTCGTTCCGAACTTCCTGGCTTAGCCCTTCGGCCTGGTCCAGAGGGAAGCCGGACACCAGCTCTGTGGTCAGCACATGGGGGCTGCAGAGCTCATCCACGATCTCAGGCACGTAGAAGAAGGGGTGGCCTTTCAGCAGCTCCCTGGGTACGGGCAGGAGGTCATGCATGCCCCTAGACCCTCCGCAGCCCCACCCTCCCAGAACACCCCCACACAAACAGAGACCCTGATCTCTGTGAGGAGGATGTGGCCACAGGCCCAGTCCTAACCAAAGCTAACCACTCTCAGAGCTGGAGGGAACTCCATCCCCAGAGCAGCCCGCTATGCCTCCCAGAGGGACCCACAGGGAGGGGCCCAGCAAGGAGCTGCACCTAAACTTCTTGGCACAGGCGGCTTCCCGCTGGTAGTCACACTCCAAGGCCAGCTCACGCCTCAGCACATCRATCAGGTGCTCAGGGAACAGGCCTGGGCCAGGAAGGAGGGTGTCAGGATTGGGAAGGGCTCTGCAGGGAAGTCCCCACAGCCTAGCCCAAGCACCTGCCACCCGACTCCTACCCTTAACCAGCAACCCTGCCTCAGACCTTCTGGAAGCATGTTGCTCATGTTCAGCACAGTCATGAGGTTGTTGACGTCACTGTTGATGCTCTGGGCCACACCAGGGTACTGCGTGGGAGAGAAGGGGAGCTATTCCAGGCAGATGGGGAAGGTCCCTGAGGCCGATATCCCTACCACCCCTGAGCTTCCCAGCCATGTCCAGGCCCGTCACCTTGGACTAACCAAGCTATGACCCAGTGCAACCCTGTTCTCCACCTTCTACTTGTCCCATCCCTAGGAACCACCACCAACTCAGCCCCCTCCCTTCAGYTTAGGTCCCCAAAGGCAGGCAATCACTGTCCCCAACCATCCTGAGCCACACTCACTCCTTTAGCAAAAACTTCTAGAGCACCCAGTAACYTGCAAGGCTGAGGGGTGTGGGGTGCAGAGGTGCCACAGCAGGGCCCTGGCCCCACCATCTGCAGCACCCACTTCCATGGGATCTAATGCACACTGAGGCACCCACCTGAATCTTCATGGCCACCTCACGGCCACCCTTCATGCGGGCCAAGTGCACCTGCCCAATGGAGGCGGCTGCAAAGGGACGTTCCTCAAAGTACTCGAGTTTGTCCCTCCAGTTGGGGCCCAGATCATTGTTGAGAGTTTTCTGCAGAGGGGCCAGGGAAGGGCCATGAGCACAGGCAGCCTCACCGCCTGTCCCACCCTGAGAGGCTCCCAAGCTGCCAGGCAGGCACCCCCCGCCCACCTCACCGTCATCTGCTTCAGTGGCATGAAGTCAGCGCTCTGCCGCACCCGCTCGAAGATCCTGGCCAGATGGGGGTTGATGAAGGCGTCGTCTAGAACGCACATGGGAAACCCGGGCTAGTGGCAGGGCCACCAGTCAGCCTGCACTGTGAGGCCAAGATCTGCTTCAACCTCCCCTCAGGTGAAGTACGAGGTTCAGACAAGACAAGCAGCAGGCCCCAGACCACACAGCGGCCCTTCCTCCTACTCTACCCTGGGGCACCTTTCCTACCTGGCACACCCAGGCTCCTGAGGGTATGCACAAGGACTCTGGAGGGGACACTGGGAGCACTACCCGGGGGTGGGCACACTCCTAGGGCACTGGCCAGCCAATTCCAGAGCCAATTCCAAATGCACCCCCGCCATGCCAGCCATCCCCAGCAGCAACAGGGCAAGAGAGCAACTGCAAGGCCTGGCCTTCCAAGCCCTTTGACCTCAGCTACAAGGCACAGGGGGTCCCAAACTCACCCCAGTGACCTGAGAAGGGGTGACTGTAGACATAACATGTAAAGTTTTTACCATTATGGAAGAAGATTAAAATCACCTATAATCTGACTACCACCAGACAACCAGCATTTGTCCCTTTGATCTTTTTTCTACATGTTTCATTCCTACTTGGAGTCACAACACGTGGACACTGCTAGTTCTCCCCAGGCAGTAAGGTTGTTTTCCAAAGTCTTTGGGAACAGTGCTGGGGTCGGTGGCCTGACAGTCATGTGCATGTTCCCTCACAGCTCCCCAGCCCGACCCTGCTTGCTTTGGCCCCATATAGATGCCAGCCACAGGAATCCCAGGATGAAGCCCAGCAGCTGGCACCCAGCCACACCCGCCCAAGTCTGTCCTTAAATGAGTCAGCGGACAGGACCGCGGCAGCCACAGGTCTGAGCACGGATGGATCAACGTAGATACGTGCTGCCCACAGGCCCTCTGGAAAGTTCTCACCCAGCTGCAGGGCACCAGCGCCCACGCCCCACACCACCTTAAGTATTAGCACCTGGTTTGACCTTGGGTGGGCAGTGGTCTGACTGCCCGGGAGGCAACTATTTCCACTGAGTGCTGCTTTGAGGTTGCTCTTCCCCATGGGACTCTGCTGAAGGCCAGAGGACCCCTCGACAATGCCTCTCAGAGCCAACCTCCTTGGCCACTGCCTTCCATTCTCTGAACCATGAATGTGACCCTACACCCAATGCTGCCACCATCACCATGGCTCAGGAGGTCCCCAAGCAGTTCCCTGTGACCAACACAACAGGGTGCAGAGGACAGTCTTGTGTCAACTGCTGAGATGTGTGACAACCTCTGGGCTTCCCAAACACCCATAAAGAAGCAAGAAACACGACAGCAGGCTCCTATGGAAGACGCTGTCCAAACACCCTGCCCAGCCTGGTCTCCCAGGACAGGACAAGCAAAAGTCAGTGGCTAGCAAATATCCCTCCCACCCCCACACCCTACTGCTGAGCTCTCAGTGAGCCAAAGCTCTACACCACTGTCCCCTACCTGAGCTACCCAGGAGCCCTGGAGCAGGAACAGAGACCACCATCACTCACCCTGGATGCTCAGCATCTGGCCCAGCTTCAGCGCTGCCCCGCGCACCTTGCACAGCGTGCTCACGATGCGCTCTGCATTCGCTTCTGACAGGAAGGGGCTGGAATCCAGCACAGCTTTCTTCCCTGTGGGCAGAAGGGTCACCACACACTGGGAATGCAATGAAGGAAAAGCCCACATCGAGCATGACCGAGGGAAGCTCAGGCAGTGTCTGTGGCCTCCTGGGTACCCACCAACTGGTAACGCAGTTAACACCACAATCCGTACACCTCCGCCTCTGTGACACGGCGAGGCTCCCCAGGACAGCTGGCCCCCAGACCCGCCTCTGGCCCCTTCTAATGCACACACCTACAGGGTCTCTCCCTCCACGAGGTGCTACAGGAGGGGGCAGGAGAGGGAGGAGAGCTGGAAGGCCCCCATAGCACCAGACAAGGAAACCTGTCAAGTCTGTGTCCCCCACCTGGTTTACTGACTGAAGGTCCTCTGCACCCCAAGGAGCAGTGTCCATATGCCACACTGGGCCAAATGACTACAGTCAAGGGACAGGCACTGACGGTCGACAGCCCAGCCCAGCTGGTTCCTGCATCTCCCCTCTGCCCACAGGCCCCACAGCTCAGTGCGGCCAGATGGCCATGGGAACATGCAGTAACCCCAAGGTCCCAGKTGACACTGGAGAGTAGCCAGGTGTCAGGCGACGATTCCAAAGAGCAAGAGGTGGCCAGCTGAACCCTGCTGCCAGCCAGTGTCATGGCCAGAGGGAATAGGCGCTCTGCCTAAATGTGGAGTCTGCCCTCATGCAGAGGTGGGGAGAGGCCTGAGCTGGGGTTTAGGGTCCAGGGCCCCCTCAGTGGTGCTCCTGGCTGGGCTTTCAGCCCTTGTAACATTCAGGGCTTTTCCTGCCCTCTTTCCTCTGAGTCTAGTTAGATCAGAAGATCCCTCGGCCCCGGCCTGTCCTGCCCCTTCGCCCTCTCCAGCTCCCACAGTGTCTGGCGCCTGCCTCAACTCCCATCACCAGGGGCCTGGAAAGGACAGAGGATTCAGCAAGGGCGTTTGTAGTGTTAGTGCTGGAACACTTTGGGATGTGATGAGAGATACAATGCTCAGAGTAGGACTGTGCCCCTTCCCTCTGCCCAGGGCCATGTCTAACATGGACTCTGACAAACCAGGGCAGGTGGGCTGCTCAGGGAGCATAAGCCCTGAAGGCTCTGGAGAGGAGACACTCAGAGGAACAGAGGATCTGCCGGCTGCAGGCGGGTGTGTGGGAAAGAGTGAGGCTACTCCCAGGTCCCAGACAGCAGGATGGAGTCTGGGAAGGTAAGAGATTTTAGCTCCACAGAAAAAGGCTGAGCTACCCTGAGGGGCCAAACTATGACCCACTGGAAGGATAGAAGGGTCCCTGGCAATAGCAGAGGGCCAGRGCTGAGGGAAGGCAGCCCCTCATAGCCCCTGAGGAGCCTGGGGCTAAAGAGGCAGGAAAGGGAGGGAACCTGGGAGAGGGCACTGCACAAAGCCCAAGAGGGAGGTTTTTCTCCTAACAATATGCAGACCAGGACTGGGCTAACCTCAAAGCTTCTGAGTTTGGGGAACAGTGCCTGGCCCAATCTGGGGTTTCTCATGTAGCCACTCCCCAAAGCTGACCAATCCTCACAGGCTGGAGGAACACCCCCAGCTCATAACAACCCAGGGGAGCCAGGACGCGCCATAGGCATAGAGGCACACCCCCCAATGGCAGAGCAGTCCCCCCAGGGCAGAACTCAGCTGGCCTGCTCAGGCAGGTGGAGTGCAACATGGGATTGCCCAGGGCATCCCACCCTGACTGGAGCCCCTACTTGCAGGACTAATGAACTTGGGCCACTTCACCCTCAGCTTCAGGTTACCACTGTCCCTGACAAAGGACACCAACTGTAACCTTGGAGCCAGGCTGGCCTCTTCTCTGCTTGAAGAGGTGGGGTGGAGAACAGCCAGCTCTGGGCTGCGGACAGGAGGGGTGCTGGCCCTAGGGAGCCCTGACTTCTCGTTCCAGAGAAACCTAGGCTTCATATCCCAAAGTATTTTAGCACCAGCACTAAAAATATCCTTGCTAATTCCTCCAGGGCCCTTCTAAGGACGCACAAGGTGCCCCATGTCCCCAGTCCTCAGGTGTCTGTGGGAATGGGGCTGATGCCCTATCCCCAGAGGGGGAGTCTACAGTTGAAGAGGGTCATCCAGGTGGCTGGCAGGAGGGCCCCCTGGGCGGGGATGGAGGTGTGAGTCACCATAATGAGCTGATGTGCCCTGAAAGAACCGAGAGRAGCCCAGCCTGGAACTACAAGTATATTTGGGAAATCCATCGAGCAGACAGCTCTATCGTGCTGCCCATGACAGCCCCAGGAGCCTGCTTAGGTACAACTCTGCTGGGTTGACTTCATAGCCACTTTTCTAACCCTTCTGGAGAAGTCTGGGGAGGCGGGCACATTGGCACATCCAAGATAGGAGGCGGCCAGAGCCTCAACTGCTCCCCCTGGCCACCATCACAACATCTAGCGCTCCCCAGGGCTTCAGTGTGGCCAGTCTACAGAACACTCTCCAGAGTGCCCAGCCCACAGCTGGCCACCACACAGTGTTCTAGACAATCATTCTCACCTGACTGTGGTCCTGGACCTGGGAGGTTTTGTGATCTCTGCCCCAGAGACCAGAGTCTCTGGAGAAGCTATGCCCTCCCCAGATCAGAGTGAGCAAGGAAACGACCTTGTGGGTCTGTCCCATACACCTACATCTTTACCCACAGGGAAGAGGGCACCTGACAGGCCAGACCAACTGACCCCAGAGGCACCTGGGAGAGCAAGACAGGAAGTGAGTGCAGAACACAAGGTGGTAGTAGGTGTGAAGTGGGTATGTGGGCAGCCAGAGGGAACCAGCAAGGGCTGGCTGGGTGGCCAGCTGGGGCTGGAGAATGCTGCCTTCCAGCTGCAAACACTCTAGAGCAGGAGAATCTGATTGTAAGGACGCCCAGGCTCCTAGTTCTGGGAGCCAATGGGCTCCATATTCCAGAGCCCCTCTGCCCCTCCCACACAGGGTCTAGCTCACCTGTGGTCTCAGGGCGCAGACTCTTCTTGGCAACCTCCGCCAGTGCCCCAAAGCCCAGGCCCACGGCCAGACCTGCAAGGAAGGAGGAGGGAACAGACACTAAGTGCTCACACAGGGCTGGGGCCACCACTGCCACCAGGTCCAGGCAGACACTGCTGTAGCTCACCAGGGACCCTCTTGCTGGCACTCGGTATTTAGAAAAGGGGGATGGGGTGGGAAATAGCCATTAGAGGTTTCAAGAGAACATTAGGGAGGTGTTTCCTGTGAAAAAGTCTGTGCATCCCCCACCTCCATCACCTCTGGTAACCTACAGACCTGGGGCAGACACACAGACCCCCAGGTGGCACCTGCTGGAAACACATTGAGAAGAACAGGCACAAATGGGAAGATGGACCAGGCATGGTCTGTGGGCCACGGCACCTGGCAACAGAGGGCACCCACTGAGGCATGTACCACCGGCTTCARGTCTGGAGGAAAAGCCTCCAGGAACCTAGAATTCTCTAAGGAATCCCTGCTGGAGCTGGAACTATCTGCAAACACGGAAGAAAGAATGTCCCCATAGCAAGCCCACGGGGACTTGTGGGAGCTGCAGTTCCCACCTTACCCTCCTGGTAGCCAGCACTGACAGTAGTCTGAGGACAGCGGGGCTCTCGCAACCCCTTCTGCAATCTTGTAAATCAAAACTCATTAACACCTTGCTTGTTCACAAGTAAAATCGTGGACAGTCGCCACCATTCAGTAAAACCCATCTCCTGGAGCCCAGCAGGTTCAGCCTGCATCACAGAGAGCCCCTGCAGCTGCTCAGGGTCTGTGTCTTCTCACTTCAAACTCACTTCTAGCTGGCTGTCCAGGGCTAGAGAAAATGGAGTGGAAAAAATGATGAGCATGTGATGAGCACACTGACTTGGAGGAAAGCTACCATCTGCCCCAGGATGAGCAGCCTCAGGGTGAGCAGCCTCCAGGCGCACAACCAGCCCAGAGTGGGTGGCTGCCACTGGGTGCTGTTTAAGAAGCAAGGAAATCTACACCCATATCTTCATTTTACAAATTTTCTATAGCGATGATGCATTACTTTTAAGAAAATATTCTATTTACTAAAAAGTTTATCTCATGAAAAAGAAATTTAAAAGTCAGAACTTAACTCAATTTAAAAAATGTTTTTCAATACATTTTACCCACCACTAGGTGGCAGTGCACCCTCCACTTCATGGGCTGTGACAGCAGCACCTGCCTCACCCCTGGTTGTGAGGATTAAAGGGGAAAAAGTGCTCACAGGAGGGCAGGCACACTGACTGTTTGTTACAAATGGTACTGTTACAAGAGGGTTTTATTTACAGTGAGCCTATTCAAAATGGTCAGGCCAGTGCCAAGCAAAAGAAATCTAACATAAGCCACAGATACTTCAAATTTTCTAATAGCTCCACTTTAAAAAAAGCAAGAAATATCTGAAATGAATTCTAATATACCTCATTTAACCCAATAAATCCAAAATAGTATCATGTCAATAAGTAATAAACATAAAATTATCAGAGATTTTACATTTGTGTGCATTTATACTACGTCTTCAAAATACTGAATGGATTATATATACTCTCAGCACTTTAGACCAGACACATTTCAAAGGCTCAGTGTACTGGACAGCAATATACTGTCACCAAGTCAAGCTCTGGCAACTGCAGGAAGAAACCAGCTTCTGTAAATGTCCTTAGGCAGGAGAGTAAACACACCACCGAGGGCAGGTCTACATGTTGGTGGGTACACCAGCTGTCTTCTCTTTGACGTTATCTCTAGCCCCAGCTCCAGAGGGCACTGGGCACAGAGCGGGGAGGTGGAGTCCCTGATTAAACATTAATTTTCTACCACCTGCCTACTTCACCCTACCCTGCACGCTATCTTAGTAAGATAGCRGATAATATTGACCTTCACACCTTAGCAATCTTCAGTAATGTTTTTCTGCATCCAGATTCTTCTCTGCCTAGACCAAGTCCAGAGACAAGCCCACAAAAGAGGCAGATGTCATCAGAGATCAGTCATTCAGCCCGGTCCCTTGCAGGCAGAAGCATGTTCCCCCACTACCCTGTGGCTGAACCCCTCAAATGTTCTGTCAAACTGGCCATTTCCATGCTCCCAGACAGAGCCAATGCTCTGTAATGATAAGAACCTGTCATTAAACAAATCCTCAAAGGGACATTCTACAAAGGAGAGCTCAGGCTTCTTCAATGGCCCTATATGTCCCCCAGGACAGTCCCAGTGCCACACAGACAGACAGGTTCCCCACAGCAGACAGCCCAGCTAATGAAAATGAGCCCAGGTGGCCAAAAGCTTTGACCTTGGCCTCTCCAGCTCCTGCTCTCAATGAATTTGAATAAATTGGCTCCTCCCACACACACCTATCCTGGACCTGGGACTCTCAGAACCCCAGCCAGTTCTGCATTTTTTCCAGAAATAGGTGGGACTTGGTGGCAGTTCCAGGAAGATGGATGGCTCAGCTAGGATGCGCCCCCATCCTCATGAGGTGCCCACACTCAAATTTCTGCCCCTCCAGAAGGGTCCCACCTCTGTACCCTGAGGCCTCAGGAAAGAGCACCTCTCCCTGTTCTAAGATGCTTAGCCCACAAAAGAAGTCCTGAAGGAAAATATCCCCAAGGTCCCTGTCAGCAGCCAAGCCTCCCTCCTGGCCTATGAAGGTGCCTGCCTGCTCTGAGAAAGCTCCTGCCATCTCTCTCACAAAGCAAGGTTCTGCAGTAAGGAGTAGCAGGGAGCAGGGCTCCCCAAAGCCAGGGCACCCTGGGCCTGCTCAGGGTGATGATATCTGGGAGCCCAGGCCTCCCCTGATAGGCCTCTTCCTCCCTCCAGTCCCTCTGGAGGTCAGAGCCAAGCAAGGTCCTCCCCGAGAAGTCCCTGGGATTCTTCCCAGATACCGGAAGTGAAAAAAGCAAAACACAAAATACCTCCTAAGGAGCCCTTTCTGAGAGGCTGGATGGAAAGCACTTGAGGGCAGACACACCCACGGTGGCAGTGATCCTGCAGCCTTGACTTCACCTGTTCACAACGCAAGGTGAAGGGAGGCTGCAGTGGCAAGGGGCACGCGTACCTAAGGATGACCCCAGCAGCACACTCACATGACACACTGTGCCAGCCACTGTCCTGAGCCTTGCTTTTTTTTTTTTTTTTTTTTTTTTTTTGCAGTGCTGGACAGAACCCAGGGCCTCACACATGCTGCATAAGCACTCTACCACTGAACGGCACCCCAAGCCCAGGTCCTGTTTTCCTTAACACATCGAATGATCCACCTGATCCACACACAGTACAGGGTCAGGGATATTTTCCTTTGCTTCCAGAATCCTTGGTGATGCAGTCTCTGTCTCTACCATCTGGCATCCTATAGCCACTCTGAGCCCCAGGAGAAGACAGGGCCTGGGGAGAGGGCTTCAGCCTCCACACAGAAGCAAGGGAAACAGGAAAGAGCAGGAGAGAAGTTCTCCAAGGCTTGTTCTCACAGATTCTCAGATCTGTCCTCCATTCCCATAAGAGGACAAGCAAAGAGGTGGGGACATCTCACAAGGCTCCTCTGCTGGCTGTCGGGGGAACAAGGTGGCCTAACCACAGGGCCAGTCAGCTCAGACTTCCACATACACGACAGAGGCCTGGGCTGAGGTCCTAGGGCAGTCACAAACATGCATGTGGCCTGGACAACATCCTAGCTCAGCTTCCTCATCTGTAGCTACAGAGAATAACAATACTCTCACCTGTGACACCAAGTTTCTGAGCGGCAAAATACACAAAAAGACCCTTTTCAAGATTCCTCCTGAGAAAGCAGAGGCAGGCTACACCTTTTCTTCTGCATCCAGAGCTCATCTATGGCACTGCAGTCATCACGCACCTGGAAGAGGACTGGCAGGAAGAAAAAGTCCCTGGGCACCCTGGTGTCACTGCATGATAGTTCTTGAGGAGAGACCTGACAGGGTCAGCCTTAGACACAGCCCTATCAGCAAAGGAGGTATCATGCCAGCAGTCTGGAGAATATGACTCTGCACAGAGCGGGTGGACACTCCCTGACCCACCAGCCCCTACTACTCTGCCACCCTCCTCCAACCAAGTGGCCAAGGGCATCACCACCATGGGACGCTCTGCACTACCCCTGGCAAGCTACAGCAGGGTCTCGACCATTGTCTGGAAACCAAGAGGTACAGCAAGCTTTCACAAAACTGAGGTATTCACCCTCTCATCCTTTATCTTGGGAGGATAAAGGTCCTTTGTTCTTCTGCAGTTACCTGAAGTTCAGTTCTGACCCCAAATCCAATAAATGACCCTATGTTTCACAATTTCTTTAGCAAAATCTAATATCCAAAGACCATGCTGCCCATAGCGTCATAGTCATAATGTCTCATAGCCAAACTGGACTTAGGATTTCAATCAACATCTCAGCATCAAAAAGAGCCACTGAAATTGCAAACCACCCGCAGCTAACCTCCTCAAATACCTGTCTGCGTCCCTTCAGCAATGCTACCTGCCTCAGATTTAGAGCAAGCCCCTTCCTTCCTACTTTCATTGTAAAAACTCATCCCCTATCAGTCTACGTTTCAAAAACATGTCACCTCTAATGAGAGGGAAAAGGTTAGAAGTATTTTCAGAAGAACAAGGTAGAACAACACTGCTTCAAACTGTGTGGACTCACCAGTGAGCCTCGCGTTTCACACCATGGAGAAGGGCACACTTACACCGTGTGTCCATGTCTCCGAAACAAAAATAATCCTTTCCTAATGTGTATGGTTATAAGGATCTATGATATTAATTCTGATCATTCCTATTCAAGTTCTTTCCATTTAACACTTGCGCGCGTGCACGTGTGGTGTGGTGTGGTGTGGTGTGTGCTATGGCTCAGACTCAGGGCCTGGCATAGGCAAGGCAAGTGCTCTACCACTGAGCTACGTTCACTTAATTGACTTTTTGACTTTGCATTCATCCACAAGGTCATAATTTACAGTTTGGAACCCTCTGGGTACAACAGGTGGCTGCAAATTTGCCTTTGAGGCCAGAAGAGCACATTCTTTCATGACCGGGCTCCTCTTTGCTCCAATCCTGCCAACTCCAACCTGAAATATTACCTGCCGATTGCTTGGACAACAATGTGGGTGGYTCCACATCACAGCTGTGGGCAACCTCCAGCACACTCCCCAGGATGGCTCCAGACGTCAGGTGCTGTCAACAAAGGCTCAAGAGGCCTCTGACTGTGCAAAGCTCCTGCCAAGACTAGGGCTTCTCCTCACCCCAACCAGGCTTCCTCTGGCTGCCCATATCACCACCCTCTGAGAAGAGCTGTCCACCCTGTGTTCTTCTTTTTCCTCCACATCTTCCCATGTAACTCCTTCCACTTCAGTCTTGTCCTTAACCTGCCAGCCTTACCTGGGCTTCATGTGTTGCATCGAATTCTAATTTGCCATCAAGACTTTCATTCTGGCCACGTTTCCCAAACAGAGGCTTTCATTACCCCACTGCCTCTTCTCCTGCCCCTAGCAGACTCCCAGGAGAGGATCACACCCAGCCTAAAACAGTCAGCTCAGCCTCCTGGGCACAGGGCTCACCTTAGGCAACAGTGAAGCAAGGAGGAGGAAAGTTACAGAGGAAAACCACAGGTGTCCTGCTTCCAACTCACAGGGACAAGGAGAACCTCCAGGAACAGAAATAAGTGCTGGACAACTACCGGCCACATGCAAAGGGAGGAGCATGCCAAGTCTCTGTGGGACCATCAAAGGCCATCATGACAGTGACTCTCAAACACATTCTGGTGGAAGAACCCCAGGAAGTTATTATGGTCTAYGAGGAACTGCTTGAAAGGCTAACCCGTGCTTTAACTCAAATGACACTTTTTACTAAATTCTTGAACGGTAAAGAAGCAGAGGATGCCAAATTTTAAGATGACAATTATGGAACAAAATATTACCACTGGGAAAAATACCCAATTAGCTTAGTCTGCTCTGTACACTTAACATAGAACACACACGCTGGTCCAGCTCCTGAGCACCTTGCTGTCGGAGAGCAGTGTGTGGGCCCCTGCCAACAGCCAGTCCTGGACAAGGACCCTGAGTGCTTTTAAAGGCCCATGTGTTGGAGGCTTGGTCTCCATCTGTAGACCTTTAGGAGGTGGGGCCTAGTGAAAGGAAGTTAGGCCATCGGTGGTGTGCCCTTGAAGGGAATACCGGGGCTCTGGCCCCTTCCTGCCTCTTCACTTCCTGAACACCATAAAGTGAGAAGCTCTTCCTGACACATGCCCTCGCCACAGGGTACTGGGTCACCATAGGCCCAAAGTAAACAGACTCGAGCTACCATGGAATGAAACTTCTGAAATCATGAGCCAAAATAAATTTTTCTCCCTTTTAAGTTGATTATCTCAGGTATCGTATCACAGTGATGGGGAAGTGGACTAGTACAGTGGGGCTTTTAAAAGAGAAGAGGCGGCACTGGTGACCAGCATGTATGATGGAAGGGACTTCGAAAGCAGCCTCCTTCCTGGAGAGGCCTTCCAAACAGCTATCAGGAGTGAGGCTAGGGCAGGAGGAAAGGGTGACGCTGCAGAGACTCCCCCTCCCAAGTGAGACCTGCCAAGGAGTTCAGGCTGCAGCTCATGGCAAGGGATCAGTCACACTCCAGCCCCAGGGGTGAGCCCAGATAGAGCTAGAAACCAGAAACTGGGTCATCAGCCTGTGGGAAACATCCATTCCATCCAACAGTCAATGCAAGGGCAGATACCTCCACCTGCTCCCCCATCCCAGAACATGGCTGGGTCCCCACCCACTCCCACCTCCATGCAGGCCCCACAGTAGCCCCAGCTTTCCTTGTCCAGGACTGACTTGGCAGCAGAGCACACACGGCCACCTTACCTCCAAAGTTGGCCAGCCGCCCAATTCGTGTAACTGGCACCTTCCGCTCCCGAGCCCGCTCACTGAGCTGGAGGGAGAAGAGAGAGACTTAACATAATCAGCAAACAGGGATAAGACCCACCTCAGGGGTTCACACTGCCCCCACATCCCATTCCACCCCAAAAGGCAGCAGTTCTACCTGACAGCACGTTCCACCAAAAGGCCACCACATTCCTAAAAACCCAACCACAACACCCACAAAAAATCCCCAAACGGGAAGCTGACACCAATACCACTGTGAGTGGGAACCGCCCAGCCCCACACCAAGGGGCCTCCCAGACACACCATCTGCTTGTGTGGTTTGCTCTCAGGGCGACCCTTGGCCTGCCGGGCCTTCTCAATGTCCTCAGCCGTGAGGCCCCCCAGTGGGGACTGGTCCTGGTGGAAGAACCTTCGCTGGAAGCCGGGGGCAAAGAATAAGTCTCTGGGTTCTGCAAAGAGTCTCCCGTTAACTCTGCCCAGAGGGGAGGCTCCCTGGCCCGGGAGCCCAGTTTCCCTAAAAGGTCCACTGGCAACATAGGCAGGAGCTGGGCCCTCGCTGTGGGCGTGACCCAGAGGAGGAGACAGTGACTGGTCAAGAGAGGAGGTGACAGAGAAGTCTGCAGAAGATCCAGACGCCTGTGTCCCTGAGAAGTGGACCTCTGCTTCTAGGTCGTCAAAGCTCTCAGTGGCCTCAGTCTCTCCATACATATCCTGACCCTGCAGGAAATAAAGGCCAATGTGAGAACCACAGGACAGAACACCACTCCCCACCTCTCCAATCCTTCAGAGGAAACACCATGCTACACCCAAGACCCACGGCCCCCTTCCCAGCCCAGAGCCAGGACCCAAACTGCCATCTGTTTCTTCCAGGGCTCTGCTATGTGGTCCCAGGCAGGCAGCCAGAGAGGGGGCTGCAGAGGTTTGGGAAAGGGAAAAGCTTTCAGAGGAAACCACCACCAAGGGCCAGCCAGAGTGAGGGGGTGCACAGATGGGAAGCAGCCGGACCCACTCCAGGCCAGCACCTCACTGCAGACATGAACTCCAGTCAACAAGGGCATGCAGTTAAGAGCTTCTCAGAGGAGAAGTGTCACAACCAGGATTGGGCCTGCTGGGCCTGGGAGCTCCTGATGCAGGGGAAAGGGAACACAGGACATATTGTGTTTTCTTCATAATGGGCACCCAGGCCTGACCTCTGGGGCACTGATTCTTTCTACTTTTGAACCTGGAATGACCTTGAGTGAGTYCCTAACCCTTTTTTGCTACTTCCTCAACTGAAAATAGAACCCCTGCAGCCTGAGTGACACAGGACAAAGCCAAGGCCAAGGAACCTGCCCAAGGAGGCTATAATTAGATAGCACCAAGTCCTGAAGCCAGTGGCCTGGATTCCCTGGTTCAAGTGAAATCATCAGGCTACATGCTTCCCACAGGTTATGCAAAAACAGGAGAAGATTCCAAATCTTCATACTCTCATCAGCCTAAGAAGAGGACGGGCTATTACTGTCATTTCACAAAGGGAAACTAAGGCTGAGAGTTAATGTGATTGACAAAAGCTATCAGTCATCAAATGGCAGAGCAGGGGTCCTAAGCCAAGGTTTGCCCTGCCAAATACCCCAGGTCACCTACTTTTCTCATAGTAGAAATTGATCACATTTGGACTCACTAGGCATCTCTCAGATGGCCACTGAAGCCCTGGAGCAAGGAGTCTGGAGCAAGGTGCATAAGCCATGGCAGGGGCCCTTCCTACTTCTTAACTGCAGGATGGCCACATGGCCTTGGATTCCAGCTACTGACATGGTGGTGGAACCCCTCAGGCAGTGAAGGATCCCCAGTGCCTCAGAGGGACTCTGTAAGTACCTACCAATTGGTGTGTGAACAAATCCCTTGGGGAGATGAAAGCAGGTAGGTTCCTAGAGTCATTGAACTTCTATTTTCTTGGGGTGGGGCGGGTTAGGGGAGGTGGCAACCATAAATCTAAGTGCTAGGGAACAAACAGAAGCCAAAACTGTCATCCTCCTCAGGTACCTCCTTCACAGTGGTGAATGGTTACTCCCTCCTACCCCAGGAGCTGTTCTGGGGGATGGCCCTGCCTCTCCCAGACACAGGGGCTCAGGCTTATGGGAGGGGAGCGATCCTGGGCAGAGGCCCTTCTTGTGCTGGTGGAGAAGGCCTGCCCAGGTCTAGCACACTACCTCACTTCTGGGGGGGCCCAGGGAGCTGGGGCAACCTCACTTGGAACTCGGAGGGTGCCACAGGCAGATCAGCCAACAGAAAGGCGAGGGCTCCTTGCCACAGAAGGCATCGAGCAAGACAACTGGGGCCACAGCCCAGTGTCGGCAGAGGGCAGGCAATAGCAGGGCTCTTGACTGGGGGCAGCACAAGGAATCAGGCCCTGTCACTCATATATCATGGGTCTTGTAACAAACTGCTTAGATTCAGTTTTCTCTTCTGAGAAAATGGGGTAAGCATCCAAGCCTGGCCCCATCCCAGGACACAATGAGGGACACTTAAAAGTTAAAGGTCTATGTGTAGGGCAAAAGAGACACTGTAGCACCATTAACCCCAGCAGAGGAGGAGCTGGGAATCCCACGCCTAAGACTGAGCAGAGTCCTGGGAACTATGACATCCTCACAGCCAGAGAAGCATGGTGACCGTTGTTCAGAGGTCAGCCAGTCACAGAAGGAATGAGGAGCCAGGCGGCCACTGCAACAACTACCAATACACACAGCTTCCTCAGACCCGCAGTTATCAGGTACAGAGGGACACCACAGTGGGCCATGCCCTGCCTGGGTAGGCCTGTCTGCAGCACTCAATTCTGCTTAAAAACCATGTCTTAGAAGGAAGATGCAGAGGCTTCTCTCCGCCTCCGCCCCTCCAGACAAGGGGGACAAGATGGAGGCCAAAGACGAAGCTGCCCTCAGCAGGGCTGTGCCAGCCGCCATCTTGGAAAAGAGTGGCGCCCCCAAGGCAAGTGCCCAGAGGTGCTCAGCAAAAGGAAGGAGAAAATGGAGGTCAGCTCTTAGCTGAAGCTCAGGAGGCTCAGCAGGAAGAGCCTTCAAAGACTGAGCCAGGCCAATCAACACCTGGGCCCTGCCATGTACTGCGTGTGTATGCCCCCAAATCCCCCTGTTGAAACCTAACCCCCGGGTGCTGCATTAGGAGGAGGGGCCTTTGGGAGATGATTAGGTCATGAGGGTGCCCTCATGAACTGGACTAGGGTCCTCATAAAAAAGACCCCAGAGAGCTCCTGGCCTTCCATCTGCCATGTAAGGACACAGCAAGAAGGCGCCAACCATGAATTAGGAAACAGATCTTTGGACACTGAATTTACCAGCGCCTTGATCTTGGCCTTTCCGGCCTCAAAATTCTGAGAAATAAATATTTGCTAATTAAGCCTCCCAGTCAATGGCATTTTTAAAAAATAGTTTTTTAGTTGTAGATGGACACAGTACATTTATTTTATTTCTTTTTTATGTGGTGCTGAGGATCGAACCCAGCGCCTCACATGTGCCAAGCAAGTGCTCTACCACTGAGCCACAACTCTAGCCCAGTCAATGGCATTTTGCTACTAAGTGACCACACCCTCACATAGGGGCCCTGCCCTGGGACAGCAGGACATGCTGGCCACTGGGCTCCCAAGCCCTGTGCACAAGACTAGTCCCCAAGTATCTGTGTCCTGATTACACCCCAGGCCTCACCAGGAGCTCCAGGTCTGGCCCTCTTCCCATCAGTACTCCCCACATTGCTGGGATAACCTCCTTACCTGCACCTTCCCCAAGACCATGCCAATCTGCTCCACGGCTGTGGACTGCAGAGCTCTGGCGGCCATGATGAGCTCCCCACCAAGGCCCAAGTGCTGCAGGTGGGTTTCCATGGCCGCCTGGGTCAGCTTGGCAAGGCCTTTGGCCACCATTATGGCATCCCCCAACATGGCAGCCATCCGTCAGGGCTGGAAGAGAGAARGCCAAGTCAGGGATAGGGTGCCACACCTCACACAGGCTACACCTCACTGACCAGCTCCACACCCAACTCTGGGCAGAAGGCAGCTGGTTGTGTGTGTGTGGTTTTTTTTTTTTTTTCACAGATTTTCCCTTCTGATAAAAGCTGACTGAGGGTAAATAAAAGGCCCAGGGCTCAAGGTAGACTTTGGTGACTCCCAATTCTCCACAGTGCTGAGCAGAATTAACAACTGTTGACTGTCTTGTGCTCACCGCTTCTAACATTACCTCACCTGGGCCTGAACACCCTGTGAAAATCCCAAAGCACAGAGAGGTGAAGTAACTGCTCAGAGAAATCAAGTGACAGGACTTGAACTGTGTGCTGACTCCTAGTTTAGTGCTCTCTCCTCCGGACCAAAACTTCATGTTGGAGGAGGGCATCCTACTTCCAGAGTAGTCCACTCACAATAGCTGTGTCCCAACACTGAGTGGCTTAGGGGTGCCTGTCCTGTCCCAAGTACTCTTACTTATTCCAATAAAGTCTCTGACAGACACCCAGACTGAGGAAAGTACAGAGCCTTTCCTGACCCCCACCTCCATCAAGCCCCCTGGGCCTCACCTAGTTACCAAGCCAATGTTTCCAAACTGCAGACCAGACCCACGGCGCATTAAGAACAAAATGGCCCAGCGTGGGAAATGGAGCACCAGGAAACCCCTCAGGAGCCTGTCACAGAAATGGATTCTGCTGGTTGTGTGTGTCCAGCTCTCTCCCTCTTCTGTCTACTGGGTTACAGCATAAAGTGTGTTTCTTAATGTAGGTCAGAGTCAGAGACACTGAAAACTGCTAGACAGAGTGAAGTCAGGCACAGCCTGGTGTGTCATTGACTACTCCAGGCACTACATATTGGGGTCTCTGATAAATCCTGGTAACGCAGAGTGTTACCAGGGATGGCAGGGCAGGAGGACGCTGTAGGAAAAGAACAGCAGGGCACCCCACTGCAGCATCCAGGGAGCTCCCTGGCTGGGAGGGGAGGGGGACCTGTGTGGCCAGGTGAGCAGAGGTGGCAGGAGCGGCTGCAAGGCCCAGAGACAGCAAGTCAGAAGCAGAGAAGGGTATGGATGGCACTTCAGGCAGGAGAGCTGCATGAACAAACATGGGCAGGCTGAGGAGGGAGGGACAGGATGAGGGGGGCCCTGGAGTTCCCTTCTCTCGTCACACTGACAGCACRACAGGTGGGGAGACTGTGCAAGGACAATGACAAGGCTCCCTAACCAGAATTCCAGGGACATCTGAAGACAGCTCCCTCCTCCCTTCCCTTCTCAGGGAGCAGCGCCCGAGTCTCTCCAGAGATCCCTGCAGGGATCAGCTCTGCTCCTAAGAACTGTCATGATAATCAGAGAAACCTACTACTGCCCAGGCCCTGGGCACACAGGGATGAGCTGCCATAACATGCTTAGCTTACACCTTCCCTTCGAGTGGGGGCCGCTACCATGTAACATCTTATATACAGTCGATGACATGGTTATTATTGACCCCAGTTTATAAGTGAGAAAACCAAATGAGAGCAGTTAACTAACTGGCCAAGGTCACACAGCTCCTCAATAGTAGCCCTGGCCTGCTCTGGGACCACACCATGCTGCCTCTCCAAACGCGTGGCCCACCAACTCACAGGGACAGGACAGGACGCAGACACAAGTAACCACTCACATTCTAATCCAAGCCARGGAGGTTTGGAGAAGGTGACCACTGAAAAAGATGTGAGATAGGGATGGGAGCTGGCCCAACCCATCACTGGGTGTCATGTCACACACTGGGCTCTGCTCTACACTCCTGCAATGAATGGCAATAGACAAGGGTAATCCCCACAGACCAAATGTCTAGGACGGCGAAGACAGCGTGCAATCATGACTCAAGTGGCCTGGGGCCAGCTTTCAACTGGCAGTCCAGAGTTCCACCCCTGACACACACAGATGCTCTTCAGTTCCTACCCTGAGGGGTAGAAGCAGCCACCAGGGCCCTCTAGACCCTAGAGAGGGAGAAGGTTCTTGAAAGAGATGTCAGGGACACGGGGTGGCAGAAGCAGAGGCCCCAGGCATATTTGTTCAGAAAGATCCTGTCAGTGGTCTCAGGACCATCCACCAGGTACAAAGTCCTCACAAACAGGCCTTCCTCCGGCTCACCTTTAATCAATCTGGACAACCARGACAGGCATTGCCCTGTGGGGAGACCTGATAATTCCAAACCTCACCTCACCTACTACCTGACATCCAGTCTTCCTTAGAACATTCTCCTAAGACCTATTTTAAAAATTCAAACTTTGTTTTCAGACTTCAAACTCTTTCTGCCTGACTTTTCCACCCAGGTTGACATAACCACATACTAAAGTTTTACCACAGTGACTATGGTAAGCAAACTTTTGGGCCAATGTAGCCAGCCTGGCCCACTAATGGAAGTTCAATTTTAAAAAGCCACTCAAGGTCCCACACCAGCAGTAAGGTGAATCCGGGACCCAACAGAGTCCTAATTCTTCTGTCAACAAAACCGAAGTCTGTTGCAAGCTGAAATTACACCTCTATTTGGGAACTATGAAAAATTGTCTCTTTCTGTATCTTCCTAACCTTTTAATTTTGGTTCACATATCCTACTTTCAAAATTAAAAAAAATATTTAAGCCAGGAGTGGTGGCACTGTAATTCCAGTGATTTGGGAGGCTGAGGCACAAGGATCGCAAATTCAAGGCCAGCCTCAGTAATTTCGTGAGACCCTGTTTCAAAATAAAAAATAAAAAGGGCTGAGGATGTGGCTCAGTGGTTAAGTGCCCCTGGGCTCAATTCCCAATACAAAAAAAAAATTTTTTTTGTTATGTTTTTCTTCCTGTCTTTATGGCTGCATCTCACATTCCCAGGGAACTTCCAATCAATGCCAAGTCTCACCCTAGATACTGGCCCTAGAGCCAGCACCAATGGAAAGAAAGTCCTTTACATGAGTACTGTGAGGCAAAACTTGTTTTTCTCAAATTCAACAGACATCACTAATAAACACAATCAGTGAGATTAACACACGGACCTCATAACCACCACAGCCAGCCCCTACCCACCCTCCTTCGGCAAATATTTTTTACCTGCCATGCAGGATTACACTCCAACCTCCCTCACGGTACAAAGTGAGCCAACCACTCACACCCTTATCAACATAGGAAATTTTCTGCAAGGAAGACATTGCCCTCAAARAAGCAGAGGGGAAAACTACCAGAAGGATAGATCTTTCCACAATTTTTCTCACCTCTGGTTTTCAAAAATTGGGTCTCAAAAACCCTATTTCTAATTGACCACAATCCCAATATGACCCATAATTCAACCATCCTGAATTGTTGTCACAAACCCCTCTAGGAATGCCTAGAGAATCAGCATCTCTGGGGCATGCATGTTCAACACACTTTAAATTAAAAAAAAAAAAATGAAAAGCCCCCCAAACACATTTAATACAGAAGCACCATGATTTCATCTACAAGCATCAAGACCCTCACTGGGACCAAAAGTCCCCCTGCCCATTGCAACCTGCTGGTCCCTGTAGTGATGTGGGGGACCTCACCAATGAGAAACCCCAAAATGGAGCATTCTAGCTCAGGAAGCCTCAGTGCCTGGCCACTCACCTCTGAGTAGGAGAAGCTGAAAGTTCTGGGTGGTCACAAACTGCGTGGCAGGGGTGGAGGATGGGCTCACATTTGGGAATGTGCACTAGCTAGGAACTATAGAAAAAGAAAAGTCACTCTGTTGTTCTTTCACTAACATCTCCTGCTACTCTGGCTAGTCCCTACAGGCCCTGGGATGAACGTGCCCCAGCCTGGGGCACCCAGAGTGCAGTGGCATGTAGGCACATCTATAATGGGCAGACTCCAGAGAGATGCCAGAGGCCAGCTGGTGCTAATATGCCAGGATCAGAAGCAGATGCACAGAAATACCTGCCCAAGTAGAAAAGACTGCTCTCAGAGCCTGGACATGGGCCCCAGCTCTGTCACCACCAGCTGTGTGACTCGGCCTCTTCATCCCTTCTCAGGAGGAGGAGAGGAGTCAGGCCCTTTTCTGGCCCTACTGTACTAAACTGCTATTAAGCAAATAAACAAAGATATTCTCTAGAGAGAAAGAGAACTGGAATAAATGCAGTTTCCTATTCCTTGGGGACAGGAATTGAGAAAGCACAAGGTGGCTTGCACGGTCATGAGAGTCCCCAAGCTCTATGAGGATATCTTCCCATTGACCTTTGCTCTCTGACCCTCCTAAAGAGCTTCCAGAAAGTCCACTCAGCCATGCTGGAGAGCAGGCTCCAGCTGAAAGTTACACAGAACACGGAACTTTCAAATCTAGTCACCAGAACTGAAAACCCCCTAGGGATGCTYACCTGGCCATTATGGTGAGATGTGCCAAAAAGAATTTGAGTCGTATTCTTCTTATTTACTTATTTTTTATTTCTTTGGTGCTGGGGATTGAACCCTGTACATGTGAGGCAAGCACTCTACCAACTGAGCTATATCCCCAGCCCCTCTTTTTAAAAATAAACAAAACAGCAAGCCTGACGAGGATAAAGCAAACGGACACATCACACACGCATCCACTCAGCACCCACATGTGGAAGGAATTCATGCTAGCAGGGGTTCCTACATGAACCTCCAGTTTTCCCCTTCACAGCCAGAATGTACCATCTGTCACCTGTCTCCTCTCATGAAGTGACAGCAAGCTGAGGATGGTGTGTTAGAATTTACGAGGGCTGAGGCTGTAGCTCAGTCGTAAAATGCTTGCCTCGTAGGTATGAGGCACTAGGCTAGGTTCAATCCTCAGCACCACATAAAAATAAATGTAGACACTGTGTGTTCATCTACAACTAAATAAACATTTTTTAAAAAATCAATTTACTAAGCAGCTGTTCAATCCCCTTTATGCCTACACAGCATTGCAGACCAGCTCCCACGAAAGCAAAACAGTGGTACCTTTAATCTCCAAATTCCAGGGCCCACCTCCTTCAGTTCCTTCCTAGTCACAGCTGCCACCACAGCCTTGGGATGGCTGGTATAACAACCCAGTGCCAACTGCACAGGAAGCCCTCTGTCCTGGGAGGTGGGGGAAGAAGGGCAGAGCCCATACTAAGACACCTCCCTTGAAACAGGCTACATCCAGCCCTCCGCTGCTCCCACATCACCCAACATCCCACAGACACCACAAATTCAACAGGTCCAAAGCTACCCTCATCACCCCTACCCTGCTGTCCAGGGCTCCCCATCCTGAGGCATACCACCATCCACCACCCGCTGCTTTCCAACCCTCCTCACCTGCCCCAATCCACCTGCATGTTCCCACCTGGGCCACGAAACAGCCTCTACCTTCAGCTCTACCCACCTCCCACTTTCTTTTCCCTCAATGCATTCCTATGCTGCTGGCCCCAACCCCAGCCCCCAGGCCTCATGGCTTCTCTGAGATTTCTAAGAGGCTGAAAGAACCTTCCTGGCCCAGCTCCCCCTACCTCCCCTTCACACTTGCCTTGTTCCCTCCACTGAGTGTGTGTTCCAACCTATTCCTAGCCTCCACGCTCACAAGTGCACTTACTCCCCTCATCACAGGACTGTGAGCTCAACTGTCAGCTCCTCCAGAAGCCGTCCCCAGCACCCACACCACCATGCTCTGAATCTGCCTGTGAATCTATCCCCCTCCACGCACACTAGACTGACAACCACAAGACAAGAATCACATCCGTTTTTCCATCTTCCCTGTCTCTCCAGCATCAAGCACAGCACTGACGCCCATAGGTGATAAATACCTGTTAAATGAAATGAACTCAGCTGGTCTCTCCAGGTTGTAGAAAGCCTGCCATCTGCAGAACTGGCTCATAGCTCTGACTCTACTTAAACTAAGCAGAACTAAGGCCTCCGCAGAGCTGCCGGTCTGAGGCAGTAGCCCTGGAGCTTTAGTCTCTATCAGATTTACCCAGTAGGTGTGTTTAAAACAAAAAACAAACCAAACACATAAATAGACACACACACACACACACATACACACACACACACGCTCCCCCTCCCTCTCTCCCTCCCCCCCCCTGCCGGGCCACACTCCAGAGCTTCTGATTTCGTAGGTCTGGGATGGGGATGGGGAATCTGCATTTCTAGCAAGCATGCTACAACACTGCTGGTCCTCAAAACTTACTAGAACTTACTAGAACCCCAGTCCTGGAAGCAGAAGAGAGGTCAGTGCCAGAGAACAGGCAGGAAGTCTCCAGAGATCCCTCCTTAAAGTCTCCACCATCTTACCTCCCTCCCTAAGTGTGGCTTTCCCCTTAAGTAGAAACCTTAAGTTTCCTTCCTTTTCCCCACAATCCCTTCAAGAACCTGAAAAAGGACATCAGAAGTGCCTGAGCTTAAAAACAATAGCCCAAAGGTTCTCAAAAGCTGCCACTTGAAGCAGACTAAGGCAAGGCCTATTTAGTGACCTTGAGGAGACACCATAAGGGGCTAGCCAATGACCTTCTGCTTCTTCCCAGCTGAAAACCATATTTTTACTTTGAGCACAGACATCTCGATTTCTACCTTGCAGGGACCCTGAAAAGTTTTCATATATCTTTTAAGATTTTTTTCTTCTTTCTCTGAGAAAAAGGAAACACCAGTTGACTGTTTCCTGCAAGGACTCAGAAAATGAATGTGTTGGGAAATTTCCGAGCCCAAATCCATGAACTTGGATAGATCTGTCCTTTGCCTAAGCCTTTTACATTACAGACCAGGGACCATCACTCAAACCTCTCAGGCTACTCCAGGTTTCTGCCTAGTGAGATCTGGCCTCAGGGTCTCTGTCAGAAAGGTCAGAAATATCCTAAGGCTCTATCCATCTTCAAAGGCAAAAGAATACTATGAAAAGAACCCAGAGGAAGAGAAAGTGGAAAATGGCCTGTCTGCCTTGCCAGCCCCAGCCAGGCCTGGTGAGTCCATGCTTCACGATGAAGACAGGCCTCTGGCAGTCGCACTCCACCTCCCCCATGCCCCACACCAGAAACCCCCTGTCCCCATCTCCTCCCGAGGCCATCCTGACTGATAACAATCCAAGAATCCTCCCCCAGCCCCTCAAATTGCATTACCTTAAAAATGGATGTATGTAATTATTTCAAGTACAAGAATGTAAATCTCCACATGGTCTAAGATGCATTAGTTGAATACTGGTACATCCACAGGTACAGCCATTTAAATGACACTGGGAAAGGTACTTATGGCAAATAAGAAAGCATAACACATGTCCCCACATGAAAAAAAGGTCACAAAACAATAAAACATTAAAAGCATGTGGTTTTCTCTGAGTGGTAGGACAATAGATTCATTTGAAATTATTTATTTCTTTAATAGTTTATAAAATTTTCTACAGAAAATTTATGCTTTACCTTTGCAATATTAAAATTATATTAAAAATAATCTTATATATATTCTGTTTATTTTTTTAAAAAAGCAAGTATACAAATTGCAATTAAAAAAAAAATAACTTTCCCACATCCCTCTAGTGCTTGTTCAGGGCAGAACTGGCAGAAGGTGAAGGTGACAGATCAGAATGCTATAAATAATGAACATGCCCCTGGTTAGCCACTGTCCATCAGAAGACAACTGCCCCTGACAGACTGACAGGCAGATGGAACATGGTCATCCCACTTTGGGGAATGAGGGTCAACTTCCCTTCTCATAAATGGTGTGAAAACCACTTGACACAGCCCTCCCCTAATACTGGCCCAAGTGCTAAAAGACAGAATAATCAATGGGTGCTTACACTCTCTCCCCAAAAAATCCAGAATTAAGTATTGTGTACAAAAATCTCATTTGCTGAACCAGAAATAAAGTCAGGTAACATTACTAGCATCTTTTTAGGCAGAAAGAGGGCAAACCAGGGTCCTAGAGCCATATCTGGCCCTGCTGCCTATTTTTGTAAATAAAGTTCTATTAGAACACACCCAGCACATTCGTTTATATATTGACTATGTTCATTCACTCACCTGTGTGTCTATGACTGCTGGGTTTGTTTGTTTGTTTTGTTTGTTTGATTGAGTTTTTTGTTATTTTGCTTTTGCTACAATATAAGAGTGGAATAGTTGCCAGAGAGAACTAAAGTCTACAAAACCCCAAATATTCACTTTCAGGCCCTTAAAGACAAAGTAAGTCAACTCCTAACACAATAGTGTAAACTATAACCACAATTATCCCAGGAAATCTGGACCTTTATTTTTTATTTATTTATATATGGTGCTGAGAATCAAATCCAGTGCCTCACACATACTAGACAAGCACTCACTCTTCTACTGCGCCACAGCTCCAGCTCTATCCCTGGAAATCTGGAAGTCACTCGAGTCGTACTGGAGCAACTACAGTTATCACGCAGACTGGTATTGGAGCAAAGATCCCCTTTTAAGCTCTGCTCCTGACCCCAAGAAACAGGCTCACCCCACTATAGCCTAAGGCCCCAGGCTAGACCAGCTTTTTCTGGGTTATCTATGGTAAAGTGGCCCCTAATTGCTGCTTATAAAGGGGTCATGCTGCAGGGGTTGTAGCTCAGTGGCAGAGCACTCACCTCGCATGTGTGAGGCACTGGGTTCAATCCTAAGCACCACATAATAAATTAATTAATTAAATAAAGGCATTCTGTCCATTTACAACTAGTCCCCCCGAAAAAAATTTTTTTAATAAGGGGGTCATGCCTGGGGTGTGTGAGGGGGTGCTGGGTGCCAACTTCCTGA